ATCGTCACGTCGGTGTCGCTCGACATCGTCAACCAATGGCTTCGCAAGTGCGGCGTGACCAGCACGCCGAGCGCCGAGCTGAAGGGCCTGCGCCGGGAGCGCATGAGGGCCGAGAGGAGGACCGCGCGCGACCACCTCCTCAGCGAGTTCGTGCGACCGGCCAGCGGCGTCGCTCCTGGTATGCCGCACCCGGTGGCCTGTGTGGAATGTGAGCATTCACATTCCTCTGACACGACGCACACGAACACACGACACACAGGATCGCAGTACGTGCAGGACAACTGGTTGAAGGTTGGCAAGGTCATGACCAAGGCCGACTTCGAGGCGCGGCGGCCGCAGGAGCAGCCCGACGTGGTGCTCAAGGAGGTGCGGAGCGTGTTCAAGAGCGATGAGGAGCGCGAGCGCGCCATCGGCAAGCTGGAACGGTTCCGGGAGGGCATCAAGAAGAGCCTCCAGAGCCACGACACCACCGTCGGCAAGGGCAAGGAGCGCATCTAAACAGAGAGTCCTGTATTTCCACTGATTACAACCTTCAGTATTATATATATAAATATCAAATATTTGGTGTCAGGCTCTCACGAGCACCACCGGGCCAAGAAGGTGGAGATGTGGTACGAGCGCGACGGTGTGGCCGTGTACGTGGTGTGCCGCACAAGGGCCACGACGCCATCGGCACGCTGAAGGATGGGCTGCTGAATAGCCTCCAGCAGCTTCAGAGTCTCACCCAGCCTGGCCCAGGCACTGCTTGGCCACCACATTGGCTCTTGTGTGCTCCCACAAGCCGACCTTGGCGCCAGGCACCCTCTCCCGCTGGGCCACGGCCTCATGCACCTGGTCTGCTTGATGGCCACCCACCCCTCAAATGCGCTCTTCTGTTCGCTGGCCTCGCACGCCGCCTGGCGCTCCATCACGGCCTTGACCTCGCCCATGGCCAGCTCGACCTGTGCAGCGGCCCGCTGCTCGGCCGCCTCGATGGTGGTGGCGGGACCTTCCTCCGCGGGACAAGCAACAAACAAGGCAGTGCACAAAATTAATGATTTACAAACAAATTTATGCAAACAAGAAGTGGTCTCCACATTTGAGGCCTCAGTCGCCCCTGGGCCGCAGCATGAGGTGGAGGGTGGCGTGCTGTTGGACGCCGTGCTGGGCGAGGGTGCGGTGGTCTTCGAGTCGGCAGCGGGCGCAGACCAGCACCTGCTGGTCCCATGGTATGCCCTCGACGGTCTCCACCACCCGCTTCACGCTCTCCACCGTGTCGCCGGGCCGGACCATGATCACGAAGGCCTTGCCCGTCAGCGTGCGCACAAACACCTCCATTGGCGCCTCTGCCTTCGTCGACGAGCCCTGAGAAGGCGTCGGTTGTGTCCCACCCGCCGATGCATCCAGCACTCGAGGACCCGTTGTGGTGGGTGTCGCGGCCATGTGTGGTACGTTCACAGCGGAAATAAAAAACAGCCAGCTTGCCCCATTTGTGAAAGAAAGAAAGAAAAGAAAAGAAAGAAGAGAGGAGAGGAGGAGATGAACCACCACCCGACGCTTACCGCCTCCGCTGCTGAAGAGGACAAGGACGACGTGGGCACATGTTCTGTCTGTTTGGTCGCCTTCAGCGCGAGCGAGGCCGACCACGTGCCGCGGCTGCTCAAGTGCGGCCACTCCTTCTGCACCTCGTGCCTCACCCGCCTCCTCGACGCCACCACCCCCTCCACCAACTCCAACTCCAACTCCAACTCCAACTCCGAAGCCGAACTGGAGGAGGCCACGCGCCCTCTGCGGTGCCCCAAGTGCCGCACGGTGACGTGTGTTCGTCTGGTCGACGGCGAGGCCGCGGCGCCGGCGGCGGGCGTGAAGGGCCTGCCACGCAACTTTGACCTCATCGACCTCCTCTCCTCCTCCTCCTCCTCCTCCTCCTCGGCCATGAGGCAGCCGCGGCCGACTGTAGAGACCTCCGCCGCCGCCGCGGCGCTCAAGTGCGCCAACTGCAGTCAAGCGGCGGCGGAGAAGTTCTGCGAGCAGTGCGGCGGCGCCCACCTGTGCGTGTCGTGCGACGCGCAGCTCCACGGGTTCCCTGCGCTGCGGAGCCACGTGCGTGTGGCGTCGGCCGACGCGCCCGAGCCGCGCGCCGCGTGCGAGCACCACCGGGGCAAGAAGGTGGAGATGTGGTGCGAGCGCGACGGTGTGGCCGTGTGCGTGGTGTGCCTCGTGGCGGGGCCGCACAAGGGCCACGACGCCATCACCATCGAGGAGGCCGAGCAGCGAGTGCGCGAGGCCACGCGGGTCGAGCTGGCGCAGGTCGAGGCTGCCATGGGCGAGGTCGAGGCCGCCGTGGAGCGCCAGGCGGCGCGCGAGGCCGCCGAACAGGCGAGCGCGCGCGAGGCCAGGGCGGCCATCAAGCAGCACTTTGACCGGGTGCGCGAGGCCGTGGCCCAGCGCGAGAGAGTGCTCGGCGCCGAGGTGGACGAGTGGGAGCGCACTACGGCGGAGGCGGCGGCCAAGCGGCAGGCCCAGCTGGCGGAGGCCCAGACGCGACTGGCTGCAGCCGGGAAGGCCCTCCAGCAGCAGCAGCTGCTGCAGCGCGGTGGGCTCGGTCGGTCGGCCACTTGGGGCGATTCGGCAGCAGCCTGTCAGGCGGCGAGGACTGCGGCGGCGGCGGCGAGAGGAATGCAGGCGGGCAGCAGCAGCATCGCATTCACAAGCGAAGACACGTGGGCCGAGGCGGTGGGCTCGTCGGGTCGCCTGGAGCGGCGCACGGCTGCTGCTGGTGGTGTTGTGCGCGACTACACTGTCATGACAGCGGCCCAGCGTACTCTCGGTTCGGTTGACCAGTTCGGCTGGCCATGGGCCGTGGCGGTCGACGCGGCGGGCCACATCGTCGTGGCTGACTACCGCCGCCTGCAAGTGTGCCGCGCCGACGACGGGTCGTGCGTCCGCGCTTTGGTCATCCCGGGTTCGGGTGCCCAGTCAGGGATCTCGTGGGGCGTGGCGGTGGATCACGCCACGGGCCACATCGTCGTGGCTGACTGCGACAACCACCGGGTGCACGTGTGGCGCGTTGATGACGGGTCCTTCGTCCGCACTTTCGGCTCCGGCGGTTCCGGCCCCGGCCAGTTCCAACGCCCACGCGGCGTGGCGGTCGACAAGGAGGGCCACGTCTTCGTGGCCGACAGCGAAAACCATCGGGTGCAGGTGTGGCGCGCCAACGACGGGTCCTTCCTTCGCACCTTCGGCTCTCAGGGTGGCGGCCCCGGTCAGTTCCAAGAGCCCGCGGGCGTGGCGGTCGACGCGGCCACGGGCAACATCATCGTGGCCGACTCGGGCAACCATCGGGTGCACGTGTGGCACGCCGATGGGTCCTTCGTCCGCACCTTCGGCTCCCGGGGGTGGTGGCCAGGGCCAGTTCAATAGCCCCGAGGGTGTGGCGGTCGACACGGCGGGTAACGTCATCGTGGCCGATTGGGGCAACCATCGGGTGCACGTGTGGCGCGCCGACGGGTCCTTCCTTCGCACCTTCGGCTCCCAGGGTGGCGGTCCCGCCCAGTTCAACCGTCCTACGGGCGTGGCGGTCGACGCAGCGACGGGCCACATCATCGTGGTCGACAGCAGCAACAAACGGGTGCAGGTGTGGTAACAGGAGTGAATGGCTCTTCCAAGTTAAAATCAAGAATCAGACCGAGTCCGTCATATGTAAAGATCCACCCAGTTCACCGAATGAGGCTGATCTGTGGGAAATAACAAATAACAGATAACAAACAAATAAGAGCAGATATGAGAGAAGACGTGTCAGACAAGATGGCTAACTTCATCAATGCTCTGGTGTGGGGGAAGAGGTGGACCTTGATCTTGCGGATGGTGAGGAGGTATTCTTCCTGTCGCCTCTCGACTTCGTTGAGTTGGTCCCGCGTCATCGTCTGGAGCTCCTCTTGGCGCGGCAGGTAATTATCGCCACTGTCGTTGCCATTGCCTCCTCGCTCCTCCTTCTCCTCCATCAGCGCCTGCCCACACCCAGTCAGCCGCGGCCCACGTCTCCACGCCGCACACCACCGCACACACCGAACACGCACCTTGCACATCTCTTCGAGTTCTCGGATCCTCTGCTGGTCGGCCTTCTGCTGGGCGAGGAGCTGGAGGTTCCAGGCGTGCATGTCCGCCGCAAAATGGTGGTCCTCCGCGCTCCTGGCCTCGGCCTCCTCGAGCCGCTGCTCCACCGCTTCCAGCTGCCGCGCGAGCCCCACCCGCAGCGCGCTCAGGCTCTCCCTCGCTGGTACCCAACATTTAAGATGGCGGTTGGTTCTACGGTTAAGGTGGCGGTAGGTTAAGGGGAAGGTCAAGGTTAAGGTGGCGGGCGCGCACCTTGGCTCACTGGGGAGTCTGTAGACGACGAGGCCTTGGGCGTGTATGACGTCAGCAGCTCGCTTTCGTCGTCCCGGCTCGCGTTCAAGGCCGACGCCGACGCGACGCGACTGCTCTGCGCCGAGGGCTTCGTGGTCGTGCTGCCGGCTGTCGAGCCCGCCGATGCTGATGACGGCGTGGTCGAGGCCGATGACGTGGTCGTCGAGGCCGGCGATGCGGGTGAAGTCGCGGCAGCCGGCGAAGGTGAGGAGGCCGAGCTCAGGTTGAGCGACGTGGGCCGCACTCGTGTGGCCGGCGCCGCGGTCGGGGCTCTGTTGGGGGTCGAGAAGGGCGATGCCTCGGCACCGCTGCTGCTGTCCCGTCGGTCCCCGCCGCCGTTGCGTGAGATCGAGCGCGGGCGAGACGGGGTGCGTGAGGCCGATGGCGACGGCGCCGCCGAGCCGCCGTTCTTGCCGCCGCCGCTCGACGGTGACGCACCCAGCACGCCACTGCCGCTTCGGGTCAGTTCCTTCAGCTTACTCAATCTGCACGCACGACACACACCACACACACACGACAGTTCAGCGGATCGGAGTGGAATTAAGCAATAGAAATGAGTGGCGTACCGCGCGCGGTCTAGGTCGCCCTCAGAGAGCTCCTGGGTAAGGGCGTCGCCGTGGAATTTGTGGAGGAGGCTGATGACCGCATATGCGCCGTCCCGCACCTCCGCCTGGCTGTCGTCGACGCACTGTCGAGCAGGTGGTTAGGGGGTGCGACGATTGCACAAAGAGAGAAAAAGAAGAAAGAGCGAAAGCGAAAGAACGAAGAGGTTCGTGTTCGTACTTTGAGGAGGAGCTCCGACAGCGGACCCAGGTTGGTCACGGTCGCGCCCTGAGTGTTGGCCACGCAGCGCTTGAGCCACTTGAGGCACTCGCTGCGCACGCGGGGCACCTTGTGTGTCAATCCCTCGCCCACTTCATTGGTGATATCTGCACGGTCAAGTAATTAGCCATAAAATGGAAATAAGTTCATAAAAGAAGAACAATAAAAGAATTTAGATGGATAAAATCAACAAATATCATATCTATCTAAATAATAATACTAATAATATAACAATAAGTAAATAAAAGAAGGAAAGCTGCAACGTGCCAGAGATGGAGAAGCAGGAGTTGTGCATGTCGTCGAGCACGTCGTGGATGACGGCGCCGACGAGGGACTTCTTGGTCTTGAAGTCGTCCAGGAGGATGGGCACCAGCTTCTTGCCGTACGGGAGGAAGTCGCGCCCGAGGCCCTTGGCCAGCGCCCCGATGGCCTTGATCGCGCTGGCGGCCACGACCGTCGTAGTCGTGCTGTCGCCCAGCATCTGTGTCGGGTCGGGTCGGGTCGGGTCGGGTCGGGTCGGGTCGGGTCGGGTCGTGTCGTGTCGTGTCGTGTCGTGTCGTGTCGTGTCGTGTCGTGTCGTGTCGTTGGTCGTGTCGTTGGTCGTGTCGTTGGTCGTGTCGTTGGTCGTGTATGCGGGGTGTGCGAGTGTGAGTGAGCGCTCGCTGGCTTCGTACATGGTTTGGAGTTTGAGTTCGCACCTCACGTAGCGTCTTGATGAGCTTGGTGTAGTCGCCAGTCTGCAGGCGCTGCGGCGGGGTGCCGCACCACGAAACGAGGTTGTCCAGCTGCTCCTTCCGCTTCTGCCATACGCCCGTGGTCTGATTCGAGTATTGCCCGTCAGCTGGTACGTGGCACGATACACGTGTCGCGGCGATGTTGGTGTTCGTACCATCTCACGATACCACTCGGTCGTGAGCATGGACAGCAGACTGATGGGCGGGAGATTCGACGTCTCCTTCCACTCCCGCTTCGGTAGCTTACCAACGCGCGCCTCTTCCTCCCTGCGTGTGCACCGGAGGTTGAGGGGTTTTGTGTGCGTGTGCGTGTGCGTGTGCGTGTGCGTGTGCGTGTGCGTGTGCGTGTGCGTGTGCGTGTGCGTGTGCGTGTGCGTGTGCGTGTCGTACCTGGGTTGGCCAGGGACCAGTATCTCGACGGGCACTCCGTTGTCGAAGCTGCTGCTGGACTCGTCCACGGCATCCAGGGAGAACGAACCCTCACTTGCCGCAGCCTCCAACTCTCGAGACAGCTCATCTTCGTCGCGACTCGATGACAACCTCTTCTGGCTGTCCCCTGGCGTTCCTGTGCGGTACACCCGGTCAAGTGCCATCGCACACAGACACACACGCAAACACGACACACGCGCAACTCGTCGTGTAGAGAGGGGTTGTGGGGTGGTACGGGTGGTGATTTTTCCGCCGGAGCAGTGCAGGACCTTCCGCTCAGGTGTGGGCGGAGTGGGGTCTTTGGTCGCCTTGGCCTCATAGGCCGCCTCCAGCTCCTTGATTTGCGCCGGTCGCAGCTGCATGTCTGACACGTGGGACACACGTACCACTTGAGTCGCGTGTTGCGTGTCGTGCCGTGTGTCATGTGCGTCTTATGTCGTGTGTCGTGTGCCGTGTGCAATACCTTGAATGGAGGCGTCGAAGGAGGAGCCGAGCCAAGAATGGAACTCGACGGTGAGCTGCAGGGCCTCGGTGCGCACCTCCTGCACGCTGTGATCAAAGCTGGCCTTCAATATGGGCAGCACGGGCTCCGGCGCTATGGGGCTGGGCGCGCCGAACAGCCTGGAATCGATGACCTCGGTAGTCAGCACCAACCAATCAACCAACCAAGCAGCTACTGTTGCATTCTGTCAATGCGCGTGCGAGCGCTGCACCTGATGGCTTCCTTCAAGCAGAAAAGGCAGCTGGCTGCCACCTTGGCCACCTTGTTTTGGCAGCCCTTGAGCAGTTGGTTCTATGCACGACGCACACAACACACACAACACATATATATTTGGTAAGTGAATGCCACACAGCAGGCCGGGTGGAGTGGGCGAGCACACCAGGACGGGTTCGACAGCTCCGATCTGCATGAAGAGGAGGAGCGCTTGGATGGCCTTCTCCTTGGTCGTCGATCGTCCGGCGAGGCATTTGTCCACCAGCGCGAGCGAGGTCTCGCCCACCTGGTTCCTCAGCTCGGCAGGACACGCTCTGTGGTCGCGTAGAGCCACTATTGTTTGTAAAAAAAAATGGAAAAAGCAGAAGTAGAGGAAAAAGAGGGAGGGAGTAGTACATACCGCGATGGGTCACGTAGGGTGGCGAGGTGCTGGAGGAAGGAGACGAGGGTGGAGAGTGCGGCCTCCTGGGCGCGCGGGTTGGCGGTGTCGGCCACCATGCGCTTGAGAAAGGGCGCGTAGCGGGCCACCGCGTCGCCCCCGACGTCCCGCACCAGGAGGTCGCCCAGATCTTCGTAGGCCTTGATGCGGTCCTGCCATTGCTTCGATATCAACCGCTTCTGCAAATCCATCTCCCTTCCAACGTCCTGCCCCCAATCAATGTGATTTGATCTACAAAAATAAATTCACTTTATGCACAATTAAAAAACGCAGTTAAAACTGAAATTACCTGTCGACAGTCACCAATTATTATTTTATTATTTAATATATAAATAATTGTCGAGTTCAGTCTTGCTTGGGGGCTGCGCCGGGCTGCGACCAGTTCTGGTCGTCCTTGCGGGGCACGGCGCCGGTGACGCTCTGGATGGCGTCCTCGATCCTGCGCCAGTAGTCGATCTTCTCGAAGAGCGGGTTGAGCCACCCGGTGGTGATGCAGTAGTCGCGGTCGTACGGCCGGAAGTGGTGCTTCTGGTGCGCTCTGCTCACCCCCCAACACCCGCACGCGTCAGACAAAGAAGCAAGAAAGAAACAAGGTAGTGCGCCGTGCGTGTCGTGCTGTGCTGTGCGTGTCGTGCGAGTCGTGCGAGAGAAATGTACCGGCCCTCGAGGATGACGCCCATCTTCTGCAGGGCACGGACGGCGCTCGGCGGCTCGTGCGAGTGCGCCCACTTGTGAATCTGTTTGATTCGAAACATGAAAAAAGATGAGCGCCTGGCGCAAAGCAACACGACCGCACACGCCACCGCACACAGCACCACGCACGCGCGGGTGGTTACCTGGTTGGTGAAGGAGAGGAGGAGGGTGGAGCAGGTGAGGTAGCACATGAGGAAGTAGTAGAACCCGCCCGAGGCCGCGGTGGGCGGGTTGAAGGCGAGGATCACGGCGAAGGGCAGCGTCGCCAGGATCGAGTTGCCGTTGGTCTCGAAGAACGGATGACGCGTGATCGCCGTCGGGTCGATATGGTGCTCGCGGAACGACCTGCATCATCCGTCATCATCATCGTGGCATCATCGTGCCATCAGCTCACACCGCACACGCACGCACACACGCGCACACGCACCTGATGAGGAGTTTGCCGACAACGGGGGTGTCGACGGAGCCGTAGGTGTCGCAGGCCCAGTGGAGCATGCCCGACACGAAGTCGGCCCACAGGGCGGCGAGGGCGAAGGCCGAGAGGAGGGCGACGAGCGAGCTGAGCGACGAGAGCGACGACAGGAGGTTGTAGAAGAGGCGCATCATGACGAAGCAGTAGATGAAGGAGAGGGCCTTGTCGAGACGCTGCTTGGCGGGCGGGTACTGCGAGGCCAAGTAGGCCGCCTTCTGCTTGCGCTGGAGAGATCGCGTCTTCCAGTCGGGCAGCAGGAGGTCTGATGGGGTGGACGAGGTTTCACCATCACCATCATCATTCTCGCCAGTATCGACAACAGCATTTGCATCGATGATCTTCGACGTAGAGGCTCCCGAGATTTTTTCCATCGCGAGCGATTTTGAAGAAGAGGATGAAGTCGAGGCGCCATCCTCCTCGGACGATTCTTCGCCTTCGTCGCCGGTGGAGATCACTGATGATGGAATGGCCGACACGCCAAACCGAAGCGTTGACGACGTCGAGCTCGCCTTCGTGGTCTGCCCGCAGTCGTCCTCCACGTTTGTTATCACTTCCATCTTCTACGTTTCTCTATGGCTTCGGTTGAGCGTGGGATGAGCAGTTCGATTCGGAAGCAGCTCGTTACCGAAGAAGGATCGATAAAATAGATCAGCAGAAAAAGGAAAGACAGAATCGAACGACTCAATTATCTGCGCAGTTGATGATGCAGATGCGTAAAAGAATGAGTGACAGTCTGGGAGATCGATCGATCGATTGATTTTGGATGTACTGCAGTCGATAAGATAAGTGAAGGGCTAACATTGCCAGTACTATTGGCGCCTAACAACTCCGCTCACACGTTACTCCGTAATGAATTGAGGAGCTTGGCTCGTTAGCAACCACAACAAAAGTAAATCAAGAAAAGAAGAAAAGAAAACAGCGCAGAAATGAACCCAACGCAACCACAAGCGGAGGAAGAATGGAGCGAAGATGAGGAAGACCTGCACCAACCAGGAACCTCGGTGGCCATCGGGCCGCAAGAAGACATCACCTTCGCAAGTGCACGATATTGGGTGGGAAATTTATTTGTTTTTATATGTTTATTAGTGATGTAATTATTTTTATTCATTAACATATTGAGCGTGTAGGACGATGAGTATGCAGAGCTCACGCCCGACACCGAACCCTGGGAGTGGTACGCAACCCCTCACACCGCCTTCCTTGACCACGACATGCACCGCACTCACCACGCAACACGCCCACCGCACGCACCGCACGCGACACCAGGTACGAGTCCTACGCGCGGTTTCGCGAGGTGCTGCTGTGCCACCTCGCCGGGGCGGTGGATGCGGGGAGAGGCCAAGAGCCGCAGGTGTCGCTCGACGACGCCACGATGGCCCAGATCCGCCGACTCCGCGTCCTCATCATCGGCTGTGGTGCGTGCGTGTGCGCTCGGTGCGTGTCATTGGTGCGTGTCGTGCGGTCGTGTGCGGTGTGCTGACGTAGGGGGGCAGGTAACTCGCGCCTGGGCGAGGATATGGTGGAGATGGACGGCTTTGAGAGCGTGACGTGCCTCGACTTCTCCGCCAACGTCATCCGCTACATGCAGGCCAGATACGCGGCCAAGCCGCAGCTCAATACATCCTGGGCGATGCCACCGACATGCGAGCTCTCTTTTCAGGTTTGAAACACGACACACGACACACGACACACGACACACGACACACGACACACGACACACGACACACGACACACACCAAACACGCACTTACACGAGCCAGGTCAGATGGGTCGTTCGATGTGGTGATCGACAAGGGCACGTTCGATGCTCTCCTCTGCCATCCCGAGGTTGTGCGCGTGGTACGGCCCCGTCAGTCCGTCAGCCGTGGACAGACGTCTGTCTCAGTGGTGGTGGATGGGTGGGTGCAGGTCGAGGCGCTGCTCGGCGAGATCGAGCGGGTGACGCGCCGAGGCGGCCTGTACCTATGCGTCAGCCAATCGGACAAGCGCGCCTTTTACTTCGAGGACCATTTCGGTACTGGTCGTGTGTCGTGTCGTGTCGTGTCGCGTCGTGTCGCGTCGTGTCGTGTCGTGTGTGCCGCATGTTGCGTGTCGTCACACGATCATCATCGATCTCACCACCAACCACTGGCCTGCAGGGGCGAGGGCACAGCTGCGACGGGAGGCGTGGGCCAAGGCCGAGGAGTCTCCGATGGGACACCTCAACCCGGTGCCCTTCTTCCACCTCTACGCCCTCTCCCTTCCTCCCCACCAGTAACTTCTTTTTATCAATTTTTTTTTATCTGGATTTTGGTGCTTCGTTATTTCATTTTCTTTCTCTTCCTTCCGTCTAATAGTTGGTCCGCTGGTTCCGTCGAAGGCGCGCGCGGGCCATGGCTTCCTCTTCCTCCTGCAGCGCCGCCGCTGCACACACGACACACACACGACACAAGGCACACGATGAGACCCTCGAAGAGAGGAAGTCGAGAGCCGAGGCGGGGCTACCGATCTCGGCGTCGGTGAGGCCCTGGGCGTTGAGGGTGGTCGCGGCGGGGCGCGGGGCAGCGGCGCCCGAGCGCTCGGCCTCCTGGAGCATCCGGGCAAGCTGGACGTCGGAGACTGCGGTCGACGTCGACGGGCCGCGGGCGCTGCTGCGCGCCTCGGCGCGCTTCCGGGCGTCCTCCCGATCCTGCTCGGCCTGCAGCCTCTGGGCCAGCTCCGCGTCATTGTGGTAGGTGGTGCCCTTATCTGCGCACGCACGACACGACACGCATTGGTGAGCGCACGACACACACACACACACGCCACGTCCGGAGGAATTTGAGGCAGGCGGTACCCTCCCACTGCTTCCAGACGAGGGCCTGGCCCATGGCCATGGGCAGGAGCGCTTCGTCGGTCCCGCCCTTGGGCAGCATCAGTCGGGGCTCGCCGCCCTCCGTGCCCTGCGGCTGCTGGTGCTGCGGCAGAGGACGCGCCGAGGACGCGCCGTGGGCCGGGCGCGGGGCCGGGGCGCTGGCCACCGGTGTCGGCTGTGGTGTGGAGATGCCCAACGACGAGCCGAGCTGCGCCGCGAGCTGCTTCACGCTCGAGCGCTGGCCGGGCGCCGCCCCGGTGGAGGTCGCCGGGCCGCGCGCAGCCGGCGGCGGCGAGAATGGCAGCGACGACGATGGCGCGGTGGAGGCCGAGCGGCGGGTGGTCGACGACGACGACGAAGAAACGGAACGCGAAGTGGACCAGGACGAGCGTGAGACAGATGACGCCGAGGAGCCGCCGCTCGCCAGGCGAGTCTGTTGCAGTTGGCTCTGGAGCGAGGCGGAGGGCTGCTTGCTGCTGGTCGCCGACGGGCCGGAGCGAGGAATGGCGGCCGGCGGGGCGGGCGGCGGCGGCGGAGGTGCGACGAGCGGCGCAGACGAGGACGGCGACGCCAGAGGCTGCCAAAAGGCCGCTGCGGTCGGAGCCGACGGCGCGGCTGAGGCCGTCATTTGCTGCTGTAGCAGCGGCGCCACCGATTGCGCACCCATCGACGATGATGGCGATGACAACGATGAGGCCGCGCCGCCTGGTACTGGGGCTGAGTCAGCTGCGGTTGCCACGGCTGGCTCGACGTCAGCTGCGGCGCGGCGGCCGGCCTGAAGGCGGGCGCGGCGGGCGCCAGGCTCGCGCTTGCGGGATAGAGATAGGGTGCACCGGTCGTCGTGGGCACTGCACCGCTGCCGGTCCCCGTGTAGGTCATGGTCGTGCTGGTGCTGCTGCCGTAGGTGGTCGAGTTGGAGCCGTAGACGAGCAGAGGGTTGAAGGCGGCTGTGAAGGCCGGCCCAGACTGAGGCATCTGCTGTGTGAAGCCTGAGGGGTAGGGGAAGGGCTGGAATGTGGAGTTGGGGAGGCTGGAGGCGACGTAGGGGCTGCTGCCACCCAGGGAGCCAGGGGTGAGGGGAGGAGAGGGGAGGGAGGGGTTGTAGGGCGCGTAGGAGAGATTGTGGAGCGGTTTCTGTTCCTGGCTCATATAGGGAGAGGGGAGGAAGGATTGCTGCTGGTACTGCTGCATGGGCGGTTGTGGTGGGACTGGGGTTGGGAGAGGGGATGAGAAGTCGATCAAGGGGGTTGAATGCTGGTGTTGTTGATGTTGGTGCTGCTGATGGTAGCTCATTGTGATGGGGTGGGCTGTTCTTTTCTGGTGCAACGTTAGTTGGGGAAAGGAACCACACTAGCAGGACTGGGGTCCGTGTAGCGCCTCTGGCTAGCGCACTGGAATTCCCAGCTGCCTTTCCCGCCAACCAAAATCTCCCAACCCAGGTCCACGTCAGCACTACGGCGTGTTTCTACCGAATCGTTCTGGAATTTCACACTGAGCACTCAGAGAATGCGGAGAATGCGCTTATTCCCAGTACTTGAGCGGTGAGATGAAGGGAGCGAACGCAAACCAGACCCCGTGCGAGTAGGCCTCGGCTCTCTGCCGGTAGTGGGCGGAATGTGAGATGGTGCCTAAGGTAACGTGTTATAGGTGGGAGGATGTACCGAGAGGTTGGTGACAATGCCCATGGCGCCTTCATTGCTTCGCACGTCGGACTTGCCGCTGACCTCGTCGATGACGTCGGCCAGCTCCTTGCCCTCCTTGAGCATCGCCACGAGCTTGGCCGAGAGCTCGAACCGCGCGCTGCTGCCCCAGCCCAGCCTGCCCTCCCGGTCCGCCACGCAGATCTGTGTTGGGGTTTTAGAGACGCACGACCAACCACTGCAAGTGTTTGCACCAAACTCACATGACACACACGCAACACGACACGACACGACACGACACGACACACAGAGAACGCATACCCAGCCGCACTCGAAGTACCGCTCGCCGATGAGCTCCAACCCTCCTTCGAGACCCACGCCGCTGCAGTCCACACAACCACGGAGGTGAGCCCAAACCAAATCCACTTCTCACGCTAGACGATGCTGGTCGTGGCGTCTCTGCGAGAGGGTGCACGCAACTAGTCAGCGTCAGGGACCTCCTTCAGGCATGCCTGTGCTCTCTGTCGGGCGCCTGCCATCTGCACATAAAGAAAATTATGTAAATTAGTTACTTAGGTTATTTATTATTATTTATTTATTTTGCTCCGGAGCTTCAACGCGAAGCAGGGAAGTAGAGAAGAAGAAAATTGGGGGTACGGTCTCGTGGACGTCGAAGGGCTGGGCGGAGACTCCGGAGGGCACGGAGACGGCCAGGAGTTGGCTGCCGCTGGGGAACAGCTTGTCCAGCACTGTGGCCACCGCTGCCCTCTTGGCCGGGTTCGTGGTGCCAATCACGACCTTCACCACACGCGACAGTGACGATGCCCGCGAACTCTCCATTTCATATTAACAATAAAAACTGCTGCTTCTTTTTATATTGTCCGCAAAAATAATGCCAGAAAACACCTCGTTTTATTTCAATCGTCCAACCCTGCCACTCTGGTGACGAGTCGGCGAAGGCCTCAGCCTGCACCTTGATCTGGTCGAGCAGCATGCGGCCCATGGTGTAGGTGGTGGCGAAGGAGATCGAGGCGGCCACTGCGGAGCCCACGAACGGAATTTACCGGGCCACCTCCTCGACCGCGGTCTGCGTGGCACAGACCTTGAGCAGCGCCATGACCCCCTTGGTCGTGGCGTACTTGGCGGTGGTCGACAGGATCAGCCGCACCCTCTCCGCGCTGCTGGCGTTCTCCATGAGACCCTGCGCGATGGCGTTCTGCTCGCTCAGGCCGAACGCGTTCACGAAGTGGCGCGCCATGCCTACGAGGATGCCCATATCGACGGCGATCGAGAGGCCCGGAATGGGTACCGCAGCCGCCACTGCCGAGGCCCGGCAAAGAGAAGCGTCTGCGCCTGGAGCACCCGGTACTTGTCCTCGATCATCTCACGGCTCCAGGACGACAGGGACAAGAGAAGCATGTTGCGTTGGGCCTTGCTTGGCAGAGACTCGACCACGGCCTTCTGCAGGAGAGGGAGGTCGTACAACTGTGCATCCTCCAAGTGCCCGCTCACGAAGAACACCTATAAAGGTTGTTGTTGCCACACCACACAGATTATCAGACATACAAGATCATGCCATCACACCGCATCTGTAAAACACATGATGCCAGGGGAACGATGCACGTGCCTGGTCAGCCCGATTTCCCAGAGTCTTTTTGATGTTGCCGCTGCGCAGCTTCTCGAGGACCTGCTTCGGGTCGAATGGCACGCGGTTGGCCTTGGCGCGCCGTCTCTCGCTGTCGACGTCCACGTCGACCTTGGAGCGCACGAAGAAGAACGGCTTGCGGTACTCCACTTCAATCAGGTTCGCCAGGAAGACGTCCGTACTCCTGAAGCGGCCGCAGTCCATGATGATGTAGAAGTCGAACATGGCCAACCCCACTCGCTCGGCGTATTCCTCGATTGGGAAGTTGACGGTGCCGCACCCCGGCAGGTCCCAGAACTCGACCGAAGGGAAGGCGGGGTGGCGATAGGCCCGTGGCTCCATCGAGCACTCCTCGATGTCCACCTGCGCGGGGAGGGTGGGGTCGTCCGACGGGGGCACCCAACCGAGCGGCGGTGGCGGCAAGCCGCGCAGGGTGTTGATGAGCGTTGACTTGCCCGTGCCGGACTCGCCACAGATGGCCACCTTTTTGGTTGCGAGGCACATCAAAATTAAAAGTTAGTTAGGTGTCTTGCATGAAGCAAAGAAAGAAAGAAAGAAAGAGAAGTAGTACGTACCTTCACTGGGGTCTGGGTGATTTCCACGATCTTGTCTTGAAAGAACTGTCCAGCGTCCCTGGCCCACTGCGCGGGGATGTGGTCGAGCACTTGCTCCAGTGATTGCATGGTGGTCGGGGCAAAGGGAGAGAATAAGGCTGGTGTGTTGGCTTGTTGGCTGGTGGGCAACGTGTTTGACTGTGAGTTGGACGTGGTGAAAGAGGTTTTGTAGCTGGCAGGACGGAGCTCATGACGGCCGTTACGGGGTGTTCCCCAAAAATGATGAGCCAATCTGGTTCGCCCGAAGTGGCTCGGTGGAAGTGGTTCCCAGCACAACTTTCCCACTTTTTGTAGTTCCCACTTCATTTCTCAATCTTCTCCAAGCACTATTAAAGGTACATGGATGCGATTGGTTGCACGGTATCCTCCACCAGAAACCATGCAACGTCATTTCACCGGCAGATCTGTCCAATCTCGCTGTGAGGTGTTCTTCTTTCAACACTTTGAGGCGGTGGAGGTCTGCTTCTCGTGCTGGGCGACGTAGAGCCGCTTTTGAACGTCGACCGAGCTGGTCCTGCTTCATCATCTCCCGCAGCAACAACGACGACGAGCCCAGCGTAAATGACACGCTCGGTAACAAGAAGCACACGGCAAGACCGCGTCGGCGTTTGCCTCTGGGACCGCCTACTGCCGCGCGACTCAGCCGCCGCTGCCCACAAACCCAAAAGCTCCAGGCCCAGGCCGTGGCTAAAATACACTGGTACCTTGGTCGGGCGAGTGCCCAGGGCCGAGGCGGAGGGCCAATGATCTGACTTCCAATCCCAGCCTCTTCACCAACGACGTATTCAGGCCGAGGTGCAGATCTCACTAAAGGTGCTTGAAGGGGTGAAGACCACACAAAGCTAAAGTCTACCAACTTATCTTCTAGCTCCTCCTGCTCGGTCCCGGGTCCCACGCGTCTCTGGTGACGCAGTGTCAGGCCGAAGTCGTCGAATTCCGTCTTTGGAAAGTGCGGCCGTAACGACGTGATGCACGCGGTTCTCGCACGTAATGCCGCTCGGCCCAATTCCTGGGCGGTTCGTCGGTTAGGTTCATGAGTGCGTCACAGCGCAACAGCGCAACACAGTTGGTGCTCACATGTACCGGAAGCGCCCGTGCCATTCCCTCATGGCCTGGCAGCAGGCCAGGGTCACGGCGCGGTGGCAATGGGCCAGCTGCGCCCACATGCGGCGCCGCGGCGCGGGGCCTTGAAATTGCGCCTCGAGCATCGCCACGTCCCAGATCAGCGTCATCGCACCGGCACCGTCACAGCTCAGCTGTCCAATCAATCCCCCCCACGCCAACGGTCAATGGTCTGCAGTTACGGCCGAATGAGGCTCGGCGGTACCGCACCTTAACTGGGGAACCGGCTCCTCTCATGTCAAGGAACAACGGAGCATAGTAGGGCACGTCCTGCAGGCGAAGATCAAAGCGCGACACGACACGACACGACACGCAACACAACACGACACGACACGGCACGACACGACAACACAAACCACGATACGGCTTACGACCCACGACACAGTACACGACACGCTGCAACTCGGGCGTAGGTGTTGTGGTGGTACGTACGTGGCCGAACATGTTGCTCACGAGCTGGCGCCGCCTGTCGTCGGCAAAGGCGATGCGCACCGCAAAGTGGCGCGGCCCGCCCGCCTGCGCGCTCAGCGTCCACTCCACGCCATCCCTACGCGGAAGTGGTCCGAGACAGTGACACTGGCGCCCAAGCCCACCACCACCGAGCAAAAGTTGGGGGGAAAGTTGGGTGCACGAACCTGACCGACAGCGACAAGGAGCGGCTGGCTCTCGATGCCGACACCGACGACGACGACGACGACGAAGAGAAGAAGCTCTCAAAGAGGCCCAACATGAGGTCGGTCCTTGCTTGGGCCAGCTTGGTAAGCGTGGTCGACGTAAAACGTTAGACCGGGAAAACAAGGATTGGTCACGCGAGCGGAGGTACTTACCTCGAAGGCGAGGGCATGGGCGTAGGGTCCCAGGCCGCCGTCTAAGTCCACGTCGGCCGCGAAGTGAAAGAACGAACAGTCGCCATCGTCGTCTTCGTCGTCGTTGTTGTCGTCGTTGGCTGCTCCTTCGCCTTCATTGGGTTCATCGTCGCCTTGGTATTTGCGAAGAGGGCTATTACTACAGGATCGGTGGCCTTGCCGGGCAAGTTCGGTCGCGCGTCGGCCGAAATGGAGACGCACGCCGTAGTGGAGACCGTACACTTTCCGCATATAACCCGCGATTCCTCTCATCAAGCCCGCATGATGTCGCGCATCTTCATCTTCGTCTTCTCTAGACTCGCTCTGTTGCGATGATGCCAGTGCGTTGGTTGTCGCTTGTTCCAAACAAGCGGTGTGTTCATCATCTCGTGTGCGGTCGTGGTGATCGTAGTCGTTGCCGTTGTCGTCGTCGTCGTCGTCGTCGAGGCCATCGTAATCGTAATCTTCTTCGTCTGGCCACACCTGTTGAAGCAGTGGAAGTCTGACAACGCGACATTAACAGGTGAGCGGTGGTGGGTTGCACGGAGAGCGAGAGGTGCATGGTACCGATAGCAGACCAACAGCGTACGTCCCACGTTATGCACGCGGATGACCGTCCTCTCGAACTCGTAGAAGGTGGCCTCGCGGTTCTCTACAGATCCAACAACAACAACAACAACAAGCTCGAGTCAGAAGATGCAGATAACGGGATGATGACCCCACGCATTGCAAGAAGAAGGCGCACCGAGTGCGTAGTCGGGCTGGTCCAAGTAGCGCTGTATCAAGGCGGCCACTGCCATGTTCGGACCTGACCAGGTCCTGTCGTCGCCCGTAAAAAAGTGGCCTCGTGCTGCCGAGGGAAGAAAAGAGAGAGCAGGAGGGGCGAACCGTATAACATCCCGGCGCCAAGGGGAGGCCAGGTCCTGTCGTCTCTTGCTCGCCAGACACTGCTCTCTACACGCGCGGCCATCGTCAGCCGCAACATGTTATCTGAATTAATTACTAAACTAGAAAGAAAATAAAAATAAAATGAAGACGAGAAGAAATAGGCACACCGGGGGGGGGAGGACCTGAGGGTGTAGTGCTGGCTCAGGGCACGTGGCACGAGGCAGGGGTAGAGGTCACGCCACATTGGCCAGTTGGACAGTAGGCCCAGCCACAGACGACATACGCGCGAGAGCTGGCACACCTCGCCCAACCAGAGATGTGCTTGCGCTTTGGGGCTGGGTGCGGCTTCGGGCGAAGCTGCCAGCCCACTGAAACGGGCACGCGGCACCACAAGGAACAGGATAAGCTCCTGCAGCTCGACTGCGAGCTTTTCCATCTGCACTGAACTTTTTGTGTTGTTCTTTTTGGGCCTTTGGCTGTGCCCAAATCAGTTTGCACGGAACCTGCTGAAGCGTCACCTTCGCCCAGCTACTTCTTCGTTCATCATAGACAAGGTCATGATCAACCACCCTCTTTAGACAGAGACCTCAATTTTATTCAAATGCTAATGATGATGGTGATGAGCAAGGATAGACGCAACGGCGTGAGACCACCAACACCACGCCTTCGCACGGGGCAAGCAGAAGTGTCAACGAACAAAAAGAGTACCAAGAGGCGTGCCGCCTTTTTTCCAGGTAAATAGCAATTTAGGAATGAGAATAGGGGCAAGTTCTGGAACATTCCACGGCCACGTCACGCATTCTTCAGTGTTCCCAGCCAAGAACGAGGAAGATGGACGGGTGGGCAGAACATGGCTGCATGACCCTCTCCCGAGCCACGGGGCACATAAAAAGCCCAACGGACTGACTCGAACAGACAACCAACAAACCAACAAGCAAAGCAAAGCCAGAGAGCTTCTCGACACAACACAAACAACACATCAACATGTCGACCGCTGCGCACACTGAGCCCCAGAAGTACCTCGACCCCGCCCTCACCTTCCAGCTCCTCGACCGCGTCCCCCAGCCCGAGGGCGTGGTACGTTTTTCTACCCTTCTTCCCTTCATCTGCTGCGCTACAACCACTCGAAGCACACTGCCGCCGTCACATTGCAACGGTCAGTTGCGGTTTAACATTTTTCTTACCATCATTTCCTTCTATTTTCATTCCTTTTCTTTTAGATCACGGCCACCTATGTGTGGATCGGCGGTAGCGGCCAGGACCTCAGGAGCAAGAGCCGCACCCTCCACGGTAAGCCCGCCAGCGCGGCCGACCTGCCCGAGTGGAACTACGACGGCTCGTCGACCGGCCAGGCCCCCGGCCACAACTCGGAGGTGATCCTCAAGCCGCAGGCCATCTTCAAGGACCCGTTCCGCCTGGGCGAGAACATCCTTGTGATGTGCGACACTTACGACCCGCAGGGCAACCCCATCCCCACCAACACGCGCGCGCCGGCCAACGTGGTGTTCGAGAAGACCAAGGACGAGAAGTCGTGGTTCGGCATCGAGCAGGAGTACACCATCTTCTCGGTCGACAAGCACCCGTTTGGCTGGCCCAAGGGCGGCTTCCCCGGCCCCCAGGGTCCCTACTACTGCGGCGTGGGCGCCGACCGCTGCTTCGGCCGCGACATCACCGACGCCTTCTACCGCTACGCGCTCTACGCAGGCATTAAGGTGTCGGGTGACAATGCCGAGGTGATGCCCGGCCAGTGGGAGTTCCAGGTGGGCCCGTGCGAGGGCATCTCGGCCGGCGACCACATGTGGATGGCGCGCTACATCCTCCTCCGCCTGTCCGAGCTCTACCGCGTCGTGATCTCGTTCGACCCGAAGCCCATCGAGGGCGACTGGAACGGCGCCGGCTGCCACACCAACGTGTCGACCGAGGCCATGAGGAACGAGGGCGGCATCAAGGTGATCGAGGCCGCCATGCAGAAGCTGGCTGCCAAGCACGCCGAGCACATCGAGGTCTATGGCCAGGGCAACGAGCGCCGCCTGACGGGCAAGCACGAGACGGCCCACATCGGCCAGTTCAGGTACGGCGTGGCCGACAGGGGCGCCTCGATCCGCATCCCCTCGCAGACCGCCAAGGACGGCAAGGGCTACTTCGAGGACCGCAGGCCGGCCTCCAACATGGACCCCTACGTCGTCACCGCCAAGATCATCGACACCATCTGCCTCTAAGAAGAGAGCGATGCCCTACAACTTCCACCAACGCACAACCACAAACACACCACACAATCGTCTCTCCTCCTCTATCAACTCCATCTACACGGCTGAGTGTTAGGGCACTATTTACTGCCACCAGCTCCACGAGAGGGATGCTTTTTGATCAGCACTCAGCTAAAACCAAATAATAGAAACACAATCGTAAAACATCAGCACGTTTGAACGGGAAAAGGAAAGAGAAAAGGAGAAAAAAGAAACTCCCCTACAGCAGGGCGCAAGAGGATGAGGGGAAGATTGGCACAGGGTATTGTGAGACCACGAGCTGCCTCGCCTGGTTTGCTTCTTAGAGCCAGCTCTTCTTCCATACCGTTTGCTCCTTCTTCTTCATCTCGCCCCTACTCTACAACGAAAAATAGAGATTTCGAGCGTGTAGAGGCACATGAGCTGCGCGCTTTCGTGGATCGATGCATGCGTGCGGTGGATTGCACGCCCGAACACGCAGCGACCGTGGCCGACATCCTCGTAGCTGCTGACCTGCGCGGCGTCCACAGCCACGGCGTCAATCGATTGGAGATGTACGTGGGCGAGGTCAGAAACGGCGAGGTGGACCCTCGCGTCCGGCCCGAAGTCACCAGCGAGACGCCCGCCATCGCCTGCGTCGATGGGCGCAACGGGCTGGGCATGGTGGTGGGCCGCTACTGCATGGAGCTCGCCACGGAGAAGGCCCAGACCATGGGCGTGGGGTGGGTCGTTGCGCGCGGGTCCAATCACTACGGCATCGCCGGCTACTACGCGATGATGGCCGCCGAGCGGGGCCTGGTGGGCATGTCCTACACCAACACCTCGCCCATCTCGTTCCCCACTCGCGCCGCCCAGCACGTGCTCGGCACCAACCCCATCGCCGTCGCCGCGCCTTCCACCGACCCCAAGGGTGCGTGACGATACGCACACACGCGCGACGCACACGCACACGGACAACACATGACTAAGGCCAATGCGCCGTACAGATCCGTTCGTGTTGGACATGGCAACCACCACGGTGGCGTTGGGCAAGGTCGAGATTCGAGACAGGGAGGAGCGTCAGTGCCCGCCTGGCTGGGGAGGTAACGCATTTGTATTGGCCTTCGTGCGTGTGTGCGTGTGCGGGTGGTGTGCGTGCGTGAGGAGTGTGATGATTGCAATCTCTGACTCGTTCCTCCTCTGCTCTGTGCAGCGGACAAGGCCGGACGGCCAAGCACGGACCCGAAGGAGGTGTTGGGCGGAGGCGGCCTTCTTTATCTGGGCGGCGAGGAGGAGACCGGCGGCTACAAGGGGTACCCTTTACAACACCACCACACGCCCCAGATCCTCCACCACCTTCTTTTTAATATGTCTGGTCGGTGCAGATACGGGCTGGCGATGATGGTGGAGCTGTTCTCGGCCATCCTGTCGGGTGCCGACTACGCGGCCAAGATTCCTCCCTGGCGCAGGGTCGCGGAAGGTAACACACTCTCGTTCCCGTATCGCCGCCGAAGCTTGTCTTTCTTCCTCTTCTTCTTCTCACTCATTCGAGCTCTGCACCACCTTTACACCAGGGCGGCCAACCTGGGCCAGTGCTTCGTGGCCCTCAACCCGGCGCTATTCGCCGGCGGATTCAACGAACGCATGGGCGACCTCATGCACCAGATGCGCTCCCTGCCACACGTCGACCCCGCCCTCCCCGTCCTCGTCCCCGGAGGTGCGTCCATCCACCTTATTTCGTTGCCGACTCGCGCGAACGCTGACATGGGGTTGCGGGCGCAGATCCGGAGAAGGTGATGGAGGAGAAGTACAAGAAGGAGGGAATCGCGTTTCATGTGAACCTGGTCGATGCCCTCCAGCGTCTGGCCGCCGACCTCCGCGTTGATCCGCTCCCGCTACGCGAGTGAGTGGGTGTGGAATGTGAAGCACGCACGGCGCACCGTTGGCTGTTTTCGCGCCAAAAATGCAAAACGTTGCGGGACGCGGTCGCGCTTAATCAATCATCGTTAATCAGAAGTACTAGAGTAGAAGAGAGACAGAGAGCATAGGCTGATTGTGTGTTGATGAGCCAAAACAATAGTTACACGTCTTTGACGTCGACTGGACACAGCGCGTTCGCGGGCGACCTCTCCCTTGATCGCTCCGCCGTGAGCGACGATGGACGCGGTGGTGTTGGCGTTACCAACTTCGCGGAGCAGCGCAAGAGGAAGCGACAAATAGATGCTCGCGTACGTGAATGTTATACAACCACTGGGCTCTTGGCCATCATCTGGTCGCTTAATTTAAATTAATTGGCCATTTTGTAGGTTATTCGATCGAGCCTTGACATTCGGGCCAAGACGTCCGTCGTCAAACCCCTCACACAACCCAAGGAATTCAACTTTGCCACAGCGTACAGGGCCAGACCCACCAGGTGCCCCTTTCTTATCAATTGTCTCAATTCCCAACCCTTCTCATCTCCCCCTCACCACAACAGATTCCTCTCGCCAGAGGAGCGCGAGCAGCAGGAGCTCGAGAGTCGTACCCAGTTCCGCGCCAACCCCCTCCCCGTCCACACCTCCTCTTCCTCCACAACGTCGGCTCCCATCTTCAAGCGTCCTCCGACCGAGCCGCAGGTACGTCTTCTTCTACTTCCTCATCCACATGCAAGAGAAAATGGGAGACATGACCGGCTCACGTCTCTACTTCCTCGGGTTGCCGCAGTCGCCGATGCTTCACACGACGGCGCGTCTGGGCAAGAAGAGGCGCCTCGAGGCGCCGTCGGTTGAGAACAATACACAACACCATCACAACAACAACAACACAGCGTCGGACGCCGGTGGCGGCAAGCGACACAAGTGCGCTCCGCGCCCGTTCCAGCTGATGACTGACCTGCGCGGACAGCAGACTCGCGAGGCCCTCGAGCGCGCTCGCCTGGAGGAGCGCCGGCGCGAGGAGGAGCTGCGGCGGTTCCATGCGCGCCCGCTACCCGAGGGCGACGCCTTCCGGCCGGCCCCCTCCACCGCTCCGCTCACCCGGCCCAAGCCCTACCCGCTCCGCACCGAGGACCGCGGCCACGTCAAGCAGGAGTCGCTCGCCCGACGCCTCGAGGGGGAGCGCCGGCGCGAGGCCGAGCTGCGGCGGTTCAACGCGCGCCCGCTGCCCGACGGCGACGCCTTCCAGCCCGCGCCGTCGGCCGCGCCGCTCACCGACCCCAAGCCATTCCCGCTCCGCACCGAGGAGCGCGGCGTCGAGAAGGTGCTCACGCTCCAGCACTCGCTGGCCGCCGCGGCCGAGCAGGACAAGGAGAACCGCCAGTTCAAGGCCCTTCCGCTGCCCACCGACGCGCCGTTCAAGCCGCGGCCGTCGACGCGGCCGCTGACCGAGCTCGACGAGTTCAACCTGCAGTCGGACTCGCGTGCGGCCCAGCGCGCGGCGTTTGAGGAGCGCATGCGGGCCAAGGAGGCGGCCGAGGCCGAGGCTCGGCGGCAGGCCCAGCTGGCACGCGAGCGCGAGGAGGAGCGCGAGGTGCGGCGACTACGCGAGCGGCTGGTGCATCGGGCGCGGCCGATCCCCCTGTCGGTCTACCAGCCCATGCAGGCCCTGCCGTCGGCCAAGGCCCTCACCGAGCCGGCCTCGCCGTGCCTGGGCCTCAAGCGCCGCAAGCAGGCCGACTCGTTCCAGCGCTCCTGATTGAGCATCATTCAAGCAACAACTATCACCACCATCATCGGTCATCATCATCGAGAGGATGACTGATCTACGCAACAGGAAGAAGGCCATTGCTGAGGAAGCTTTGGCTGCGCGTTGCGCCACCACATTGATGTGGTTAGCACAATGTACACACCGCCAGGGAGTGGTCAGGAAAGAAGACGAAATTCCATGTGTTCCGAGAAAATCCGCCGAAACAAAACAAAACGAAGAAAAGATTCTCCTCGACCACAAACGCGATCAAATTTTCTTCTCTGTTGCCACGAAGAGCATCCTCATCTCTGCATCTCCATCAACCAGCCTTTCGCCCCTTCATCAACTTCTTCTACTCTATCCGCACTTGTAAAATCTTTGTAAATTGATATGGAAGTGACGCAGCGGCCTGACAAGATGGACGTCGTTTCCGACAACAAGACAGCATCCCAACCGCCGCAACAACAGCAGAACAACTTCAAAGAGAACGTGCAGCGGTATCTTCATCCCTCGCCTGGCACAGTGACAACATTGATGTCGCTGCAGGACAAGAACCTCACCCCCCTTTCTCTTTCCTCTCTCTCGTAGCTACTTTGTGCAACTCACTACAGGCTGTGGCAATCCACTTTGTAAAAACCCTTACTGTGCTAGTGGTATGTCTCATCTCATTCTTTTTCTACACGGCCCATTTCATTTTTGCTTCATTTAGGGAAATGCCTCTGACGTAAATCAATGCCCAGCCGTGGGACCTATGAATCCCAACCAGGCCGCTGCACAGGCGCTCAAGCTGGCCTTCAACAACGATCACGTATGCCCGCCCCAGATCGCAACGCCACACTTGAGCATCCAGAAGATGCGCGAGCTGGTGGTCAACGCCAAGCAGAGCAGCGACTACACGCCCATCATCCGCACCTTTGGCTCGGTCTTCTCCGAGCCCGAGTTTCTGAACGTCAGCTTCTTGAAGGTGCGCGGCTCGAGCTCCTCCCTGTACGCGTGGCCACCACGCTCGAGCCGTTTTTTCATTTATTTTGTTTTTATGATTCATTTTTTTAAATTATCTGTTGGTTTTTTTACACAACAGACCGGCGACTACGCTGTTGCTGCGACACCAGAAAGTTCAGGTAATCACACAACCACCTGTTTCGCGTGTAGCTTGGAAATATCAACATTCTTATTTATTTATTTCATTTATTTTTATTTTGTGCCTCGCTGCAGGTTTGGACGAGAATGCGGTGGCCGAGTTGTTCGCGGAGGTCGAGGAGATGGTACCATGCTGCCTTGCTTCGCTTGCTCGAGCTGCGGTGATCGCGCAACTGACCGTGGTGCGATCTGTGCGTGTGTCGTGCATCAGCCTGCCAACGTGAGAAATGTGTTGGCAAGCGCGTTTGAGCGGCTCGTTGCCAGCTTGAAGGTGGCCGCACCTCGTCTCTCGCAACCCGAGAGCCTGCGACAAGTCGTGATCGTCCTCCAGGTGCGTGTGTCGTGTCGTGTCGTGTGTCGCATGTGTTTTATTGGACACAACATTTTGCTTTTCATTTTTCTTTATATGTTACTAAAATGGCTATTTATGTACGTATAGAGCCCGATGCTGTTGGATCTGGACTACCACAAGTCCATCCTGGGTCCGCTCATTCGGGCGATTCCGCTGCTGCCCGAGCGCTCGAAGGACGTGCTCGTGAGCTGGTGGTCGCAGATGAGCGCCGAGCGCATGCGCACGTTCCTGGGCATCGTGCAGCAGTACATCACCCTCCGCATCCTGGCGGCGCCGCACGCCTTCTCCCTCCACAACGACGACTACATCCCGGCCGGCGTGCGCGTGCTGCAGCTCCTCTACACCGCCAACGAACGCATCACCAAGGACAAGCTCGACTACCCCGAATTCTACAACGACGCCATCAACGAAAGCATCGACCTCAAGGTGCGCACACATACCACGGCACACGCCGCACACACACACGCGCTGACCATGGGTGCGTTTGGCTGTGTGTGTGTGTGTGTGTGTGTGTTCTCGGGCACCACAGGAGGACTTTATGCGTTGGATCGACAACTCGGGCCAGTTTTCGTTCTGCAATTATTCGTTCGTGTTCGACGCCGGGACCAAGAGCAAGATCCTGCAGTACGAGTCCATCGTGGAGCAGCACCACCAGCGCCAGGAGGCCCTCCGGCGCACCATCTTCACGGGCATGGTCAGCGCGCCCGCCCTGGTCTTCAAGATTCGCCGAGAGCACCTCATCCAGGACACCCTCTCCGCGGTTCGTTCGCACACACACGCACACACGCGCACACAGGGTGGGTGTGAACTCATGTGTTGTGGTGGTGGTGGTGGTGTGCAGATCCAGCGCCATGACCCGGCGGATCTGAAGAAGGAGCTCCGAGTGCACTTTGTTGGCGAGGAGGCCATCGATGAGGGCGGCGTCCAGAAGGAGCTCTTCCAGGTACGCCCGCCATTTCACCTTGTGACACTGAGACCTTCCAAACTCACGCATGACACGCACTGAAACCACACGACACACACACACACACACACACACACCACAGTTGATCCTGCGTCAGATCCTGGACGCCAAGTTCGGCATGTTCACGTACAGCGAGGAGGCGCGCACCTCCTGGTTCAACTCGGTCTCCACCGACTTTGACGAATTCAAGCTTATCGGCATTGTACGGCAGCTCATCTCTCCCAGTCCAAGGAGGAAGCTTACCTGTTACCTGCTTGTGTGTTGTGTGTTGTATGTTGTGTGTGTGTGTTGTGTTGTGTTGTGGCTACAGATCCTGGGGCTGGCCATCTACAATGGCATCATCCTGGACCTCCACTTCCCGTTCGTTGTCTACAAGAAACTTGTGGGACTCGAGCCCACCCTCGACGACCTCAAGGACGTCAACCCCGTACGTGCCTCCTCACGTCCAACCGCGTAACCGCGGCCCTTTCCTCAAGACACACACGACTAACAACACGCAACACAGGGCTTGGCGCAGGGGTTGCGTAAGCTGTTGGAGTTCGACGGGAACGTGGAGGAGACGTTCATGCAGAACTTCCAGATCTCGTACGAGGCCTACGGCATGGTGCAGACCCACGACCTCAAGGAGGGCGGCGCCGACATTCCCCTCACCAACGACAACCGGCAAGGTACGCGCAGCCGTCGCACATTCCTGCACACATTCCTGCACAGCTACAGCTGGAGTATATCTAAAGGAGTATGTTCATTCCATAATAGTTGTATGTGTAAATGATGAGAACCTATTTACTACAACACAGACACCCAACTAAATAACTAGAAGTGCATGGTGAACTACAATAGCTGATAAGAATCTGAACACATACACATCTAGACTATATTCTCTTTATGTATACACTCCAGCTCTCCCTGGCACGGAGGGTGCTCCACACCGCCTCTGGATGACGATGCTGATCTCTCTCGTGTCGCCGTGGTGTGTGTCGTTGGTCGTGTCGTGTCGTTACAGAGTACGTGGACCTGTACGTGCGGTGGTACCTCAAGGATTCCATCGCCGCCCAGTTCGAGGCCTTCCTCAGCGGCTTCCGCCTCGTCTGCGAGTCGCGAGCATTCGACGTACGCGTTTCTCAAATCCAAATCCAAATTGCAGACGCATTTCCGAATTCAATCACAAACTCAAACCAATCGATCGATCGACAGATGTTCAGGGCCGAGGAGTTGGAGCAGCTCGTGTGCGGCAGCCCCGTGCTCGACTTTGAGGAGCTCGAGAAGGTGACCCAGTACGACAACGGCTACCACCAGGACCACCGCGTCATCAAGTACGTGTGTGTCGTGTCGTGTGTGTCGTGTGTGTGTTCGATAGTGACCGGTGGCGTGTTGTGGGCTGCGCAGGGACTTTTGGTCGATCGTGCATTCGATGACGCTCGAGGAGAAGAAGCGACTGCTCTTCTTCAGCACCGGCAGCGATCGGTCGCCGATCGGCGGTCTGGGCAAGCTGGCCTTTGTCATCACCCGCCACGGCGAGGACTCGGACCGTCTGCCGCAGGCCCACACGTGCTTCAACCACCTGCTGCTCCCCGAGTACGCGTCGCGCGAGAAGCTGCAGGAGCGCCTCATGACCGCCATCTCCAATGCCGAAGGGTTCGGCATGATCTAACAGCTCTGCTAAACAAGCAACAAGCAACTACGAATTCCCTGTACAATTGGCCGCTCGACATCACCGCACACACGACACGACACGCACGCGCGTGTTGCGATCAATCGCTCTTGGTGCGTGGTGCGCCTGCCGCCGTTGTTTTCGCGGTGTGGGTCGGGAGTTGGAGGGCGGAGGTCCATAGGAGGGTGATGAGGGCGACCAGAGGTCACGGACAGGGCGAAGCCCAGCACGGCGCCGGGGTGGGCCGCGAAGAGGGCCTCGCGGCCGGCGTCTAGCAGGGTGAGCGCCGCCGCCAGCGCGGGCACGAGGCCGCGGTCCTTGGAGAGGGCCACCGCGTAGAGCGCGAAGAGCGGCAGCCCGAAGAGGAGCGACGGCAGCGCCCAGTCGCGCAGCGGATCGGTCGCGCTGGCCTCCATCGAAGCGCCCTCCAGCGCCGCACCGCCCACGACCATGGCCGCCAGGAGCGCGACCAGGCGGCGCCGGCTCCGATCGAGGCCTACGAAGCGGTCGGCGGTGGTGGTGATGAGGAGGAAGACGAGGCCCGTCGTGAAGAGCGTGCGGAGGCTCGCAAGCGCAACGTCGAGCGCCGGCACGTAGGTCGCCAGCGGCGCGAACGACGGGCACGACGGCGTCGGATCGGCGTCGTCGTCGGCGTAGAGCAGGTGATGCAGCGCCAGCTTGCGCGCCCCGTAGGTGAGGCCGCCCCAGGCCACGCCCACGAGCCCGCCCAGCAGCGCCTTGGCCGCCGGCGAGGGCAGGTCGAGCGCCCTCGCCGGTGGCGCGTCGTCGGTCGCGTGGTGGCGGAGGTGGTGGAGGTGGGCCAGCACCAGGGCCAGGCCGAAGGGCAGCAGGGCCGACTTGAGCAGTCCCACGCCCGCGCGCACCAGGAGCTGATTGTAGAGCGGCTGCGACGTGTCGAGCCGCGCCTCGACCGCCGTCGGAAAGTTGTTGAGCCACGTCAACACAAAGACCACCAGCAGCAGGCCGTAGACCCGCGCAAACACGCGGTGGTCGATCGCGCCCGCCGTGCTCCACTGCACGAGCGCCACCACGACCGCCGCGCCAAAGGCCATCACGACCAGAGCCGTGCAGGCGAAGCGCACCACGTCGAGCGTCGCCTCGGCGTTCTGGCGCTCGCGGCGCCACTCCTCCGGCAGATGGACCAGCCGGCGGTGGTCGGTCACGGCGTCGCCCGACACGTTGACCGCCACCCGCGGCTCGCCCTGCGCCAGCTCAACCGCACCAATCGCGGGCCTGGCGGCGAACGTGAAGAGCCAGTCGACCCGATTGGGCAGCCGCTCGGAGCTCGACGACACCAGCACCAGGCCGTCGTCGTCATTCTTGTCATTCTTGTCGTGGCCGACCAGGCGGCGGGCGTGGCGGCGGGCGATGAGTTGGGCGGCGTCGCGGGAGAGGTTGGCCCCGAGGCTCGACTCGGGCAGCCGGTGTGCCACGCGGCGAACGCCGGCATCGGCGTCGAGCGGGGTGACGGCGACGGCGTAGCGCTCAGCCCGGGCGGCGACGTCGGGCTCGTGGACGTCGAACTGGACGAACCGCACGCGCCACTGCGGCGGCTCGAGGAACCCGACGGCCGCCACCCGACCGTAGGCCTCGCGTCGGTCGTCGCCGGCGGTCGTCTCCCACACGAACGCGCCCTCCGCCTCACCGCAGTCTCCCTCGTCGACCGTCGCGATCACATACCACCGCTCCACCACATTCCGGATGTCGACGCGGCCGTCGGAATGTGGGTCATTGGTTTCGGCGTCGGAATGTGGGTCGGAATTGGCGTATCGGGCGAGGAGTTCGGACTTGGCGAGGGCGATGGCCTGGGCGCGGGTGACGTGGAGCGTCGGCGCGTCGGAGGCCGGGGCCGGGAAGCCGTGGCCGTAGGCCCACACGCCGAGGCCGGCGGCGGCCAGCACCACGACCAGCACCACCACGCTCGGCGGCACCCGGACAAGCGTGACCCGCCGCGGGAGCTGTCGGCGTGCCGCGGCGGCCGCCGCCTCGGCGCCGTTGCCATGAGTCACGGGCGGCTTCCAATCCCGATTGAGTGGAGGCGCGGCCTGCGAGGGGAGAGTGCGACGTCAGCGTGACGTCAGCCGTAGACGAAGGGAGGGGGGATACGTTGCTGATGTGGGCCGATCCCTTAAGCATGAACCGCTTGGCGAGGACGAGCCAGAGCGGGGCGAGGGCGCAGAGGATGACGAGGGTCTGGTCGAAGCGCGACGGGGAGGCGAAGAGCGGCAGCGCGAACCACACCACGTCGAACACGAAGTGGAGCACGATCGACGGCACCAGCCCGTACTGCAGGTACACCCCGCCGAACATGAGTGACGGAATGATCAGCTCGACCAGCCTGTCGCACGCGACACATGAGACGACACACACACACACACACACATACAAGACGACACGACACACGACGTGGAGTGAGTGAGTGAATGACGTAAGCATGACGGAGCATGCGGGGGGGGGCGTACCGAGCCCAGGAGGGCATGGAGGGGTAGTTGGCGTGGGCGGCGCCGAAGATGACGGCCTGCACCACCATCGCGACGGCCACGCAGAGGCCCCGCTTGTTGAAGCGGCGCCCAACGAGCGCGGCGATGGACAGGGGCACAGCGCGGAAGCAGCACTCCTCCCACGAACCCGCCTTTTTGCCAACGTCGCCGCACACGCGACGCGCAACAAACGCGTTAGCAACGTCGACGACGATACAGACCACTACGGAGAGGGCGGTGGCACACACACCTGAAGGGAGAGGGCGATGGAGGAGACCCACGGGAACACGGTGGCCAAGATGTCCGGGTGCTCGTGGACGGACGATGGGACCCACCACCCGAGCTTACGCTGTTGGTTTTCATATGTGTGCGCGCGTGTGCGTGTATGTCGTTTGGCATGTGTCGTGGGTCGTGTGTGGCATGTGTCGTATGCGTGATGAATCAACAACTCGCCCCCGGAGCTCGTTTCGCAAGGAAGGCGCCGTACCTGGCAGAAGAAATAGAGGCCGACCTCGTATGCGAAGAACACCGACACCAGCATGTAGCCGCTCACCTAAACCGCGCATGCGTCAGCCAGTGTGTCGTGTGTGTCGTGTGTCATGTGTGTGTCGTGTGTCGGTACCACTCGGCCGAGGATGGCGGGTGTGTGTGCGGCCTCCCAGAAGCGCCACAGTTGCGGGTGGTCGGGGAAGGCGCGGCGGGTGAGCGACTCGGCGGCCATGTAGGAGAGGAAGAACCAGATGGAGGCCCCCACGAAGGTGGCCAGGGAGTTGAGGAGGTTGGTGACCATAAACGTCGACGCCGACTCGGCCGTGTCGTACTCCATCCACGTCAGCGGGTACTCGTTGATCGACGACAGCAGCAGCAGGAAGCCCACGAACACGCCCGCCGCCAGCGCCGGCTTCCAGATCACCCACCCTGTATGTTTGAATATGTACTAATATTAGTACATATTCAAACATATTACATAAACAGACAATATAAAAAACCAATATTGTTTAAAATAAATGTGGTGGTAAACGAACAAGTAATAAACAGAGAAGCGATTAAGAACGAGAAATGAAGAGAGGCGGGAGACCTTGGCGCATGAGGTAGAAGAGGCCGACGCCATAGCCGATGAGGATGAAGAAGAGGGCCATGAAGATGGTGGCCACCGACGCGATGGTAGTGTTGTACGACCTGGCCATCATGCAGCACCATTGTTTTGTAATGCTGAGTTGCACACGCTCATTCATCATATTATTGATTGGTGGGCAGACGTACCTCATCTCGGCGAAGCGGCGCTGGAAGGTCTCTGGGATCTTGACGGAGTAGGTGAGCTGGGTGAGTCGGTCGCCGCCGACGACGAGCGTGAGCTGGAAGCGGCCCTCGCCCTCGCGCCCGAGCCGCAGCCCGGCGCGCTCGTAGGTGAACGTGTGGTCGGTGCGGCCGCCCAGCTGCTTCACGTGCGAGCTCTCGGCCCGCTCGAACAGCCCCAGGTCCACCTCCCACGGCGCCGCCTGTTCTCCCCCACAAAACTCATTGAGACCACGCGACCCGACGCAACGCGACGCGACACGACACGACCAACGACAGGCTCGCACCTGGGCCGTGGCCTCTGCGATCTGGCGCGCGTGATCGTGGGGAATGGTGTGACCGGCCTCGTCTTCGGGCAACGTGAGCTCGAACCCGCACAACCGGCCTGATGATGATGGTGATGATGATGACGTCATGTCACGCCATAAGCCACGTGCATGGAGAGAAGAAGAAGAAGAAGAAGAAGGAAGAGAGAGTGGTTACCGTCGGGACCGAAGGAGACGAGCAGCTCGCTGACGCTGCCCTCTCGGAACTGTCGCACGTCCCACGTGTACGGGTAGTACAGCGTCTGCTGTCGCCCGGCCGTCGTTGTCGTCGTCGTCGATCCATCGCTGTTGGCGTAGGTGCCCATCAGCAGCCGCTGCCACGCTTGCAGACCCTGCCATACGCGCGGTGCATGCATTGGAACAACAGACGCACACGCACAACACACGCACACGCACAACCGCACACGCAGTGGGCGGGTGAGGGGCACCTCTTCGAGCTCGAAGAAGTTCTGCACGTCCTCCGAACCGGCAAAGGTGGCGGCCTGCTGCCACCCGCCACCAGCCTCCCGCGCGCTGCCGTTTTGTGCTGCGGGCAGCCAGCCCAGCTCGCTACTCAACTGCACCACGAATTATGAATTAACTATGATCAATCATAAATAAACAAATAAAGGGGAATAAATAAAAATAAACAAATAAACGCACGTTGAGGGCGCTGTGGAGGGCGTGGGGTCGCTGCATGGTGATGGCGAGGCTGGCCATGGGGAAGGCCTCGGGGAACAATTCCACTGCGAAGAGGCCGCAGCCCACGCTCACCACCGAAAAGACCACCCACCAGACCCACCGGCCCCGCCCCCCTTTCTCCTCTCCCTGCCGCTGTGCTGCCATATGCACCGAATAAATAACGCAGAATTCTGATATTTTCTTTTTTAACTCGCCTGTTTTTTCCACTGGAATGCACATTGGCCAACACGCCTCATTGTGATCACCAGCAGCCTCTTATGGAACCAACGCCAGCAGGCTGTCCATCGAGCATAGTGAGCAGCCTGCAGCTTGGCCACAACCACCATCAGGCTTGCTATGACTTCTCTATGTCTTTGGTGGCAGATCAGGCTGGGGATCAACCTGGGCACACCAAGAGACTGTGGGAATTCATGATATGTAAGTTCCACTACAACACCACATGCAGCATGATGGGCGTGTATGCAGTGGGTCAACATGGACAAGCCAGCCACGACCCAGTTGGCCTCCACCTGGGCAGTGTGGTCAACACCACACTGTATCAGCACTGCAAGTGGACCTCTTCTTTCAGGACAATCAAGATCAGCCTGGGCTCAACCTTGACTGTTGAAAAGGCTCCAAATAGACACCTGTGGTTGCTGGTTGCTTGTGGCTCCATGGCCAGTTCTTTGCTTTTTTAATTTTGTATTATTATTTCGCCAAACCGGTGGAGAGCAGACAGCAAATAACAAATGTACAAGCGTTCCACACAATCCCCCAGGGCGCAGAGCCTGCACTCACGTCGCCGACGCCCCCCTCTTGTGCGTCCGGAACGAGCCACCCGCCTACGCTTTCGCACCCAAGTACTGTCCGTCGTTAATCATTTAATTGCATGAATTTCATTGCATTTCATTTCAATGCATCAAGAATCCTCCCCGACACTATTGTCCCCCTCCACAGGAATCCCTGGAGGAGATCCACTACATCGTGCATGCTCCGCCAGCCTATCACTACTCGCTCGGTACCGCCCCCTCCCCGCATGTGCACTACGTGGATGGCTTTTGGTCATGACCAGCGCTGAGGGGCGGTGGTGGTGATGTAGATGGATTTGCGGACGAGGAGGTGGAGGAGAACTGGGAGGCCGAGGAGCTCACCGTGCCCGAGCTGCGTGCGGCCCTCTCCAAACGACGCCTCCTCACCAGCGGACGCAAGATGGACCTCGGTACGCCCCCCTGCGGCTATTCCCTCCCCCCTAGACATTCCTTCACATTCCTCGATGTCGTGTCGTGCCATGGGCGTGTGCGTGTGTGTCGTTGTGTGTTGTGTGTTGCTAGTGGAGCGGCTGAGTGGCGCGCTGCAGCGGGAGCGTACGGAGCGGCGGCAGGACGCGGGGACGGCCAAGCGGCGGAAGCTCGACGACATCCTCTCCGCCCAGCAGGATGAGATGGAGGACCGCCTCGAGGCCTACAACCTCGCCGCACCGCCCAACACCACCTTCACCTCCACCACTTCCACCACCACCTCTACTACGACCACCACAGCCACCACCGATGACGACGCCGATCGCGACGCCAACAACGACACCACGACGAGCAGCAGCAGCACGACCAACTTTTCGTTCTTCTTCAACAGCCTCGAGGCCGAATCATCATCGCCGCCGCGACCGTCGTCGTCATCGTCATCAGCTGAGTTGTCGTCGTCGTCGTCATCCGCCAACGGCCACGGCGGGCCGAGCAGGAAACGGAAGATGCCCGAGGAGGAGAACGGCGAGCAGGAGGAAAAGGAGAAAGGAAAGGAAAAGGAAAAAGGAAAGGAAGAAAAGGAGGCTGGCGAGGCGGTCGTGAGTGGGTCGCGGTTCACGTGGGGCGCGAAGGAGGAGACCGACGGGGGCGAAGACGGGCTCGTGAGCAAGCTCACCCGATTCCTGGAGCTGGTCCCCTCCTCTTCGCCCTCCCGCGCCGCCGCCACCGCCCAACGGAAGCCCGAGCTGCTCCCGGAGGACCTGCTGCCGGCCGCTGCCGCCTGCTCGTCGCCCGTCATCATCGCCGCCGCCGCCGCCGCCTCGACGCCGCCCACCGCCCCCGCTCTCCCCATCTCCTCGCCTCCGGCCAGCCCCGTACGACCCCCTTCCCCGCCATTGGTTGAGATAGATATAGAGAGTGGAATCTCTCACACCCGTGATTGGTGGCCCATGGTTGGTGCAGATGCGGCGACCGCTGAAGGGGGTGCTCAAGAGACGCGAGGTGAAGGCGCCCGAGGACATGACGGCCGGCGAGCTCAAGGAGCACCTCATCGCTTACGGGGTACGACCCCCCGCCGTCGTCCATTGCTCTCCGCGCTTGGACTCTCTCTGATCACACTTGTCTACCCCCCCCAAATTGCATGGTAGGTGGCTGGCGCAGCGCTAAAGCAGAAGAAGGCGGCCCTGGTGGCGCTGCTCCACAAGACGATCCAACAGCACAGCAAGAAGGCCAGCGCATAATAGCCCTTCACCACCACCACCATCATCATCACCACCACCGATGTGAACTGACACCGCAGTGCAAGCCAATAGCTAGTTATTTATTTATTTATTTCGTAGAGTGGTGTAAATGCAGTTTACATTTGTTGTTGGTAAAACAAAAGAGAGGGGAGGCGGGAAGATGAAGAGGAGGGTGGCGGAGGTGTCATGGATACGGCGGGAGGGGGTCGGAGAGGGACGACTTGAAGAGGGCGTACTTGCGCGAGGGCGTGTGCGTGTGCGGTTCTGCGGCGAGCTCGGCCCGGAGCCGCTCCTCGTCCTCCACCGAGCGGAGGGCAACGCGCCAGCGCGCCAGGTCGGCCGCGGGCACCTCCTCCGTGCCCAACGCCTCGAGGGCGGCAAAGGCGCGCGTGGCCGTGGGCAGGTGGCCCTTACTCACCGCCGCGCCGAACAGCCGCTCGAGATCGGGCCGCGCCGCCTGAGCGCCGGCGTGCTCCTCCAGTACCTCGAGCACCTCGAGCACCGCCTCGGGCTGGCCCCGCTGGCACATGGCCCCAACAAAGGCCGACAGCACCGAGTGCGAGTCCAGTCCGTTGCCGGCGGCCATGGCGCGCGCCACCAGCTGCGCGCCGTCGCGGTCGTGCGAGAGTGCGCAGAGCCAGAGGAGGGTCGCGGCGCTGGCCTCGCGCGGGCGGAGGTCGTGGTGGTCGTCGAGGTCGCTTATGAACTCGGCCGCGGCGCGGGCGCCCTCGTCGGAGGCGATGGCGCGTAGGAGGTGCACGCACGTCGCGTCGAGCAGGCTCCACTTCAGGATGCGCTTCCAGGGTCGGTGCAGGTCCTGCGGCAGGCTGGACACGTGCTGCGCGACCTCGGCCAACGCCGTGTCGCAGATCGACTCGTCCGGCTGTGTGTGTGTGTTTGTGTGTGTTTGCGTGTGTGTGTATGTGTTAGGGAGGCTTGTTGTGAAGTGCCTGGAAGTTGTGCGATGTGTATGTATGCATGCATGCATGCATGTATGTGAATGTATGTGAATGTATGTACCTCGATGCCGCGGGCCTTCATGTCTTCGAAGATCTCCACCATCTCCCCCGGGTCGTCCTTGCTCCAGCTGACGGCGAGCAGGGCCTGGTACACCAGCATATCCGGCTGTGTCCATCCACCGCGACAAAGTAATATTACATGTGTGCGTGTAGAGAAATATCGATATATCGAGATAAAGATTGCACAACCAATCGGGTGTGTACCTGGAACCCGTTGTCGATGCTCTCCTGGTGTGTGGCCCAAACCGCGTCGGGCCGCTATTGGTCCGGAACCGCAAAATTGGACTGATTAGATACGGTTGGGGAGAGTGGCGGTGGAGAGAAGAATGCAAGGCAGGCGTGCGTGCCCGGAGGCGGAAGTGGAGGAACATGAAGGAGGTGTAGGTGGCCAGGTCGGGGCTATCCAGGCGGCCGATGAGTTCGGCCAGGGCGATGATCTTTTGCTGGTCGCGGGTCTTGACGCACGCGCCCAGCACCACGTTCAAGTGGATCACGTTGGGCGTTACGCCCCTCTTGGGCATCGCCAGCAGCGTCTCGTAGGCCAGGTCCACCTTCCCCGCCTGCGCTCGCCCGCCCGCCGCGTTGCGTTCAGCCACAACAGTGCAACTTGATGGGGGATTTGGGGGGGGGGATGGTGGTGATGATTGCGTCGTTTACCTGGGAGTAGACGCGGAGCAGGGACGTGTAGGTGCGCTCATTGGGCTCCCACCCGTTCTGCTTCATGATCGCCATAACCTGCTCGCCACACGCACGACACGCACGACATCCACGACATCCACACGTTATGGGCCAACAACGATGATTGGAGAGGGGCGTGGGGTGATGCCGTACGGAGGTGGCGACGTCGAGGTCGGCTTGGGTGGCGGCCAGGCCGAGCACCGCGGTGAGGAGGGCCAGATTATGCACTTCTCCCGCTTCGCCCTCTCGAACAGCTCCATCGCACTGCGATCAGTCACCGACCCCCCCCCAACCCACACTAGATGTTAGAACATGATGATGATGATGATGATGATATCATCCGGTGCCTTATGTAGAACTGTGGCTGGTCGAGGCAGGCGTCGAGGATGGTGGTGTAGGTGTGCGCATTAGGCCGCACTTCGCATTGCTCCATGATCCGCTACACAACACACACACGACACGCACGCACACACACACACATGACACACGACACACACCCCACAGGACATGCAGCACGCATGGTGCGATCTCACACGTGAGCCTTGCGAGCACCAGCGGTTCGTGGAAAACTTCGCGGGGGGGGGTTGGGTCACAGGAGTAGTAGGTCCGCACCATGATGGCAAAGACCGATGGCAGGTCTTGAACCCGCGCGCACGCGTTGATGAGGGTCGAGAACGTCCACACATTGGGTCGCACGTCCTTTTGCATCTGTCGTGTGTCGTGTCGTGTGTCGTGTTGTGTGCGTCAATCACCAACAAGAGAACTCATTGTAACATAAATAACAAAAGAAAAAGATAATGATACCATGGCGTCGAGGGTGGCGAAGGCGCGCGAGATGTTCGTGGTCTTGGCGTAGACGTCGATGAGGGCCGAGTAGACGTAGACGTTGGGCTCGACCTCAAACTGCTCCATCTCCTTGAGCAGCTCCTCGGCCTTCTCCACGTTGCACTGCGACGCGCACGCGGCCAGGAGCGACGCAAAGACGTGGGCGTCGGGCCGCACCTGGCGCTGCTTCATGAGCTCCCACATGGCCAGCGCGCTGTCGAGGTCGCTCGAGGTGGTGCAGATCTTGATGAGCGACGTGTAGCACATCGCATTGGCCCGCACCCCGCGGTCGGTCATGAAGTTCAGCAGCTGCTTGCCCAGGTCTGTGAAGCTCGGGTAGTCCGACATCTTGCCTGCCCACGTCACACGATCCAATCCGCATGCCACATGCATTCCCACCATTCCATACATTCCATATCATACGGTTCAATCGAGTCAGACCAGTGCACTCTGTGATGATGGCGACGACAACGACAACGACGACGACGACGATGAGGTGGGCGACGACGTACGGAAGACCTGGAGGAAGTGGCTTTGGGTCTTGCAGGTGAGGCGCGGGAAGAGCTGGAGGATGTCGGGGGAGATGCGCTTCAGGAGGCTCTCCTCCCGCGACTCGCCAACGAGCTCTATGAGGTCCCCCAGCTGCTGGCCGCCAATCGGCTTATTGTTCTACTCGCACAACACCCACCACACGCCAATAATCGTCACCTCACCGTGCCTTTGCCACCCGCACACACCACCAGCCACCAGCTACCAGCCACCAGCCACCGGCCACCACCAGCCACCACCAGCCACCAACGGAGATCGCGCCACAGCGCGGGGGAGGAGCGAAAAGGGCAGAGGGTGTGTGCCTTGAGCATTCGATTGAGGTAGTCGAGGGCCGCTTGCTGCTTTTGCGTGCGGTGCTGCTGCACATCCTGCATTACCTTCTGCACATCTCGCTGCGCATGCCGCACACCACCGCTGGCCCCCGCCGCTGCTGCTGCACCTGCACCGCACACACATGCACGCGTCCACCAGCACGAGTCAGCGACAGCACAGCCGGCTGTCATTGGCACCAGCCACCACCAGCCACCACCAGCCACCACCAGCCACCACCAGCCACCACGTTGTTGATGATGCTACGTACCCATTCCACGGTGGGGCACGAACGCGCGGGGGGCGTGGGTGCGGAGCAGACATAGCGGCGTGTGGTGCCATCGCGTCTTGGCCCAGGCTCCAGTCGGGGCTGCAGAGCCGGACACTCCTCCGCGGGTCCGAAGGCCGAAGGGGGACCCGGTTGAGCGTGCTACTTGCGGTACGCCCGCCCTTCGCCCCGTCGTCACCGCCAACGAATCTGCCGCGAGGTTGGTGGTCGCGGTGGTGGTTGCGCCGCCGCTGGGCGGCCGTATGCCGCACCCGGCCTCGCCCGCTAACCCCCCCCCCCAAACAAGCACGTTCATAATCCGGCAAGTCGCAGCATGTAACGACAAAATAAAACAAAAAATAAAAATAGGAATATAATATGTGTCCATACCCCACCACGCGGGAAGCAGGCGCGGGGCCAAGGTGCGATGTTGCCGCATTCAAACAACCCGTCGCGCAATGTTGATTCTCGGTAGTCCTGGCGTAACGATTATTTCTTCTCTTTCCTTTGATTTTTGAATTTTTTTAATGCAGGCAGGCACGGAAGGCAGCAGAGACACGGTGTGTGCGCCTGGATCAGCTGCAGCAGCCTCCGTTGGCCGGCTTCTCGGCACCGGCGGGCTTCTGGCCCGGCCCAGCTCGCCCAGGAGCAGCCTGGTGGGCCTGTCACACCGTCGGTGGCCAACGCAATGTCAGCGCGACAACAAGACGTGTGTGTGTCGTGTTCGTGTGTGTCGTGTGTGTCGTGCTATGCGTGTACGTACGCGTATGGTGCCTTCAGGCTTCTCGGAGGCAATGACGCCCTGCTCGATTTTGTCCAAGATGACCTCTGCCGTCTTCAAAAACACCTGCACCCTCACATCAAAGCCGAGAGAAGAGAGAGAAGAGAGAAGAGAGAGACGTAAGTTCAGAGCCGCGGCAGACGAGCAACACGGGGCGCCGCCACCGAGGTGGAGATGTCTGGGGAGGAGTGGTACGCACCGCATCCACCTTCTCGCCGGTCTTGGCCGACACCTCGGAGAAGCAGTCGATGCCGTTATCGCGGGCAAACTGCTCTCCCTCCTCCCAGGAAATCTCTCGTCGATCCTCCATATCCGCTGTTCCCCGTCCCGCCGGCACCGCCACCACCAGCAAACAAAAACATGTTATTATTGTCCGACACGCACACGCACACGCACCACCGCACCGCACACGCACAAAGGCACACCGCACACGCACAAAGGCAGCACGCCAGCCATGCAACCAGAAGACACGTGATGGTGGATTACCCTTGTTGCCCACGAGCATGATCACCAGCTCCGCCCCTGCGTTTTGGTGAATGTCCTCTAGCCAGCCCCGCAGATACTTGAAGGAGTCTCGGCTGCATTCCGGTTCACCGTCGTAAGTAATAGTTCTCTATATATTCTACATTCTACCTCTTCTGTCTGATGAAACTAGAGGAAGGAGTAGAGCACCAGGTGATGTCATAGACGAGCAGGGCGCCGAAGGCTCCGTGGTAATAGGACCGTGTGATGCTCTTGAAGCTCTCCTGTCCCGCCTGGTTGGGCAATAAATATTTGTGTAAAATATTGAATAAAGTTGTACAGGAAAAAATAGATGAAATAATCCTGGGTCTTGGTGCACGCCCCTCAAATTGAATGAATTAATGGGAGGGGGGATGGTACGGTGTCCCAAATCTGAATCTTGATCGTTTGCCCATTGAGCTTGACCGTGCGGGCGCCGAATTCGACGCCGATGGTCATGTCATGCGATGGCTCGAACCGCTTGTCCGTAAATTGGAGCAGCAACGACGACTTGCCCACCCCCGAAGGCCCCACCACGATGTACTTGAAGCGGTGGTCGTACTCGTTCCCCTGCTGCGCCATGCTGCTTGCTTTGGCGAGACGTTCTTTCTCTTTTTCTTTTTCAACTCCAAAAGAATAATGAAATGGAGTTGAAAAAGAAAAAGAACTTTTCTCGTTAGGGCCTGGAGCGTGAGGTACACCAAGTTTGTTGAGCTTGATGATCATGGCTCTTCAACATGCTCAGATGTTGAGATACTTCTTTGGGTGAGCTTGGCTGGATCTTTCTTGATCTCCCTGAAGGCTCATCAGCCTTCACTCCTAGGAGGGCACATTTGAGGTGGTGATGCTGCAGAGGGGTGTGGCCATTGTGCAATCACCACCAGCAGTAGGAAAAACATCAAGAAGACAAAGAATAAACAATAAATATTGATCTGTGCTGGGTTGCAGTGCAACTATCAACCAGCTGGTAGCGTACAAGCAAGAAACACCAATCAGCTGCCAGTGGCGCGAGCTTGGCCGAGGCACCGTTGACAGCAACATGCTCAGGAGAGCCGACGCCAGCCAGAGGCACGGACGTCGGAGGCCAGGCACGCCACTCGTAGGCGGGCGTAGGAGGCACCGTGAGGCGGTGGGATTTCGACCACCCAGCGCTGATCGGCGTGCACGTCGACCACGCGCACGTGGCTGCCGGCCACGACCGCGCCTAGCGGGTCCCCGAGGCCCGCCACGGCTTCCTCGGCGTAGTAGGGCGTGGTGCGTCCGACCCAGTAGTGCCCAGGCCGGTCTTCGCCCGCTTCGTCTTCCTTTTCGTTTTCTTCATTTCGCTTTCGTTCTTCTCGCACGTGCGAAGAGAGGGGCGGGGCGGGGTCGTCCACGCAGAGGTATTTGGCGACGAGGTAGTCGAGGCTCTCCTCTTCATCACCACCTTCTGTGGCACCGGTGCCAAGCGCAGCGGGGGACTTAAGGTCGTCCATCAGCCGTTCGAGGCTAGCTATTTCGTCATTGCTGTCCACCAGACACACCCCTCGCAATGCCTCCTCCATGTGGGCGCAGGTGGTCCGCACCAGTTGAACCACCTCGTTGGTGTCGAGGCCTCCTACTTCTGGTCGTTGTTTCAGACAAGACAATACAGGAGTGGGAGAAATGCAAGGGAAAATGATTTCTTTTTCATTGTTTGGCCAGAGAAAGTACAAGAACAACGATGGCAGCGCGTGATGGCAGTGATGGATCGGATGGCAAGTACCGCATGATTATCGCCAATCACTACAAGCAGATGGCCGACTCCCGAGAATCCTTCCTCTCCATCTTTCGCCTCCAGCTCGCCCACGCCCTCCTGACCGTGCTACTCTTGGCAGCCCAGCAGGGGGCGGCCTACGCGGCTGGCGTGGCAGGCCCAAGCGCGGCCGAGTGCGCCGCGTGGCTCGTGCTGCCTCTGGCCCACGTAGGTCTCGCCCTCTACGGCCGCCAGGCGCTCAAGAGCAACGCACCGCCTGCCATCGGCTCCTACGTCGTTCTGGTGCTGGGCCTGGCGTCGGCCATGATCGTCGCTGCGGGCTTCGTGGTGCTGTTCAACCCTTCGCAGGCCCACACCCTGGCCCAAGGCGCAGGCTTGGTGCCGCTCGTGCTTCACTACTACGCGCCGCTGGGCCTTCTTCTTCTCGGAGCCGGCGCCGCCCTCGCCTCTGCCCTTCACTGCCGCCGCTTTGTGGTCGCGCTGAGCTCGACCCGCAAGAGGAAGTGAGCGAACCGCCCGTCTACAAGGCTTCCACTTTGTGAACGAGTGATGGTGATGAAGATGAAGATGAAGTAGTAATGGCTATTGAGCCTTACATCACCCCACCGCTTTCCTTCTTTTCGGAGGGCGTCGTGTCTTGCTCGTCCTGTTCCTGCTGCTGTTTGTGATACTGCTCCATGGCCTCCTTCTGCTTGGCCGCGAAGGAGTTGAAGCCGTCCATGAACCGCTTCCGCTTGGCCGCGAGCTGCTGCTGTGAGCGCAGCACGTTCTTCCGCCGCTCGGCCGCCGTCAGTCGCTTCTTGGGTGGCGCCTGCACCTCCGCGTCTAACAGATATAGATTCATCATCATCGTCACCACCACCACCACCATCACCATCAGCAAACGTCGAAGCAGGCACACAACCGTTGGAAGAATGAAAGAAAATGAAAGAAGAGGCTTGGTACCAGGCACGGCAGTGGGACGCTTCGGTTGCAGGAAGCTGGTCCGATCGACCTCCTCTTCGTCATCGTCATCGCCTTCGTAGATGGACTTGGGAGCCTCCGTGCCCACCATACTGCGGACGACACCCATGAAGTGAAGTGAAGGGTGAGCGAACCAGCGTGGTGGAGGTGACGGATGACGGATTGAAAGAATGCGGCAACGTACAGCTTGGCCTGGTAGACGAAGTAGTTGGACAGCGCGCGGATGGCTCTGCACAACAAAAACAATAAATAAACAAAAACAACAAATAAATAAATAAAAAAAATACAAATAAATGCGTACTCGCTCTTCATTGATGCGATCTTCTTCTCGTCGGTCTCCAGCATGTTGGCCTTGAACTGCGAGCGGATGGATTGTTGCAGAGCGTGTTCGTTTCCGTTGTAGTGGCCGGCATGCTTGGTCATGCGCATGAGGTCCCGATAGATCTGTTCGCCCTGCCGATTTAGCGGAATTGATTTGAAGAATGAGAAGTGGAAACGGTACTGACCTGGCGGGTGGTTCGGAACGAAGAGATTGCGGCCTCCCCGGCCAACGTGGTCACATTGCTTGTCATCTTGCAGAGCGATCAATTTGCAGGACTAAAGAAAATGACAAAAAGCAGAGGGAATTGATAAGAGAAAATATTTGTTGCATTTCTTGGAATGCGCTCCAAAAACGAAAATACAACAATCAGCATTGACGCTGGGCATTCAATCAAGAATCAGCCCTCGATGCGGAAAGGCCGTATGTCGGCTGGCCTGCCCAACCTGAAAAAAAGAGAGGCTGAGGAAGAAAGCAAGGATGACGTAGACGACAAATCATCTTCGCCACCCACAAGCCAACGTACCATTCCCGCACATCTTTTTTTCTCCCGTCTTGCCTAACCACATGAGCCCACCGCTGTGCACCAGCATCAGAGGCAGCAGCGGGCACGACATTCCAGCGGCTGTTTCTCTCCCGCAAACGCCGTCGCACCGCTGATGGCGGTGAACAGAACGGGGAGAAGGAAGTGGCCGTCGCCGCCGCCGACGACGCTGGCCCAGCGAAGCAGCCGGAGGAAGGGCAGCAGCAGCGGCCCATGGTGGGAGGCTTCATTAGCGCGAGCGGGCGAACGGTGACGGTCGGCGCAGCCAGCCTGGCCAAGGGCCGCCAGCTCATGGCTGAGTGCGCCGACGCGTCGCAAGAGAAGGAGGAGGAGGCACAACAACCACAACAAGGTGGGACCAGGGCCGACGTCGGCCGTTCACCGCCGCCTGCTGGCGTCTCTCGAGGCGAAGACACGGCCGAAGACAACCGCGCGCCACCGCCGGCCTCGGGCTTTGGCGGGTTCACGACCGCCGGCGGGCGCAAGTTGGAAGTATCAAAAGAGGCCCTGCACCGTGCGTCGCGCCTGCTCAACGACAACGACGACGAATCCACCGCCGCCGCTGCAGTCGGATCACCGCCCGACACCGCACGCGACGAGGCCATGGATCTGGTGCGCCCGCCACCTTGGTCTCGCTTCTCCTTCCCGCGAGCCTTCTTCTTCTTCTTCTTCACCATCTGACGCATCGGCCAATGGGGGATGCAGGAAGCGGAGCACCAGCAGCAGCAGCAGCAGGAGCCGTTCATGGGGTTCAGGTCAGGACGTGGGAAGGCTGTGGTGGTATCCGAGGCCAGCCTCGCGAAGGCCCGGCACCTCGTCATGGATCGCGACGGCGACGACGCGGCCGACGTCGGCCCTCCATCGCCGGAGGACTCAGCGCCCCCGGCGTTCGTGGGCTTCACCACGGGCAGCGGGCGGAGGCTCGAGCCGCCCAAGGCCAGCGTCGAGCAGGCCATGAAGCGATTCCTCAGCGACGATGGCGACGGCGATGACGAAGAGAGTGGTAGAGGCCTCGCGGGGCAACACGCCACGACGTCAGAAGAGGCACCTCAGGCGTTCGTGGGCTTCACCACGGGCAGCGGCCGGCGGCTGAGACCGTCGGCGGAGAATGTGAAGCGCGCCATGGACCGACTTCTGGCTGACGACGACGACGATAGCCACGCCAATGGAAACCACCCCAACATGGCTCTGCCGGCGTTCGTGGGCTTTACCACGGGCAGCGGGAAGAGGCTCGAGCCGCCCAAGGCCAACGTCGAGCAGGCCATGAAGCGATTCCTCAACGACGATGGCGATGACGATGGCTCATCGGATGTCTACGCAGGCGCGCCGGCTTCGGGTATCGTGGGCTTCACCACGGGCAGCGGGCGGAGGCTCGAGCCGCCCAAGGCCAGCGTCGAGCAGGCCACGAAGCGAGTCCTCAACGACGAAGACGACGGCGAGGTTAATGGCAACGCGCAGCAGAGCCCCGGCAGGCGAGGAGAGAAAGCCAGAGCTCTAAACGGGGCGCCTCCGCCAGAGAGCTTCGGAGGTGCGGGCGGGGCAGCGTTCGGAGGTTTCAAGACCGTGAGCGGGAAGGCCATCAACGTGTCGGCGGCTGCCCTCGCGCGCTCCCGGCAACTTCTCGCCGACGCCGACGAAGAGGGCGACAGTGCGCAGAGTGCCGGCAAGCGGCCTCGCCTTGATCAAGATGGCGATGGTGGCTTCGACGCGATCAACGGGCCGCCGCCTCCGTCAGAGAGCTTCGGAGGTGCCGGTGGCGCTGCATTTGGAGGGTTTAAGACCGTGAGCGGGAAGGCCGTCAACGTATCGGCGGCCGCCCTCGCGCGCTCCCGACAGCTCCTCGCCGACGTCGACGACGTAGAGGGCAGTAACGCGCAGAGCGCCGGCAAGCGGCCTCCACGCGAGAAAGACGGTGACGACGACTACGACGCGACTCAACGGGCCGCCTCCGCCTGAGAGCTTCGGAGGTGCGGGCGGGGCAGCGTTCGGAGGGTTCAAGACCGTGAGCGGGAAGGCCGTCAACGTATCGGCGGCCGCCCTCGCACGCTCCCGACAGCTTCTCGCCGACGCCGACGCCGACGCCGACGCCGATCGAGACCCGAGCGCAATCTCTCGCACTTCACCGCCTCGCGCCAACGCCAGCAGTCGCCCCGACGAGGAAGACGAAGACGACGACGCGGACATGCTCCTCGAGCTTTCCTCGTGTGCCGACGACGAGCCCGCCCGCCCGCATTCAGTACCGGCGGCGCGAGCGGCTGCGGCTCCATCGCGTGCGCCGCGGCCGTCACCCTCCCCGCTGCCGCCCGCCGCCGCCGCTGCCGCCACTCCATTGGGTCCGCCCGTGGCCCGGTCGACGCCATCATCACACCGCGTGCCGTCGCCGAAGCCCACCGGGAGGGGCGAGTTCGCCTACCCGCCGACTCCCGTTCGGGCCACCCCGCCTCGTCCGACCTCCACCACCGCCTTCACCACTTCCACAGCTTCCGCGACGACTACCACGACCGCCACGTCGCGCGCCGCCACCGATCCGCCTCGCGTGGTGGTCACCACGCCGCGCGCCCCTGCATCCGCCTCCTCGACCGGCAACGCCGCCACGACCGGGTGCGTTAACCCCCTTTCACGCCCTCCCAATGTCTGCTGACGTGTCAGTGCCTGATTCGGGTGTCATTTCCGATGACGACGATGCAGGCAGCTGGCACGGCGAGGCCCGCTCGGCGGAAATGCGACCGGGGATCGTCGCGGTGGTGCTGGCAGTGCCGGCGGGGCGGGGGCGCCGCCGGCCAAGCAGTACGCGTACGGGTGCAGCCCCTACAAGCCCCCTCGCGCCCACACTCCGGCTCGCCCGTCTCGTCGCCAGGCGACCCTCGCCGCGACCGCGGCTCCGGTCCCCGAGGCCGCCCCTCTGCCCCCGTGGCGCTACTCCCTCCCCGGTGCGTGAAGCCCTCCTCTCCTCTCCTCGGCTCGTGCGATGTACGCCTCACACGGTACACGACACACGACACACGCCTCAGAGGTGAGTGAGAAGCTGACCCTGAAGCAGCTCGCGGCCAACGAGCCCCAAGATCTCCCCATGCCTCCTCTGTACGCTTCCCGTGCCTCCAATCTGCACATACGACACGACCAACGACCAACGACACGACGCACATCGTGACTCTCTCTCTCTCTCTCTGCGGCCAAAAAGGTCGGAGGAGGTGCTGCGAATGGACAGCGACCGGGCGCGCCACTACCAGTTCACGTGCGAGCAGGTGTTCGAGGACATGCGCGCGCACCCGGCCGCCTTCGTGCTCTTCTTCTCGCCCCAGGCCATGGCCGCCCTCAACAACCCCTACGTACGCGCGCGTGTGCCCCTCAATTGCTGCTGCCCTCTCTCCCTCGACGCATCGCATGACGTTTATCTCGTGGGTGTGCGTGTGCGTGTGCGGTGGTGCATGTGCGATGTGTGCGATGTGTGCAGGGGGTGGGAGCGACCGAAATGCACGCGGTGCTGCTGGCCTGCGGTGCCAATCCCAAGATCATCAGCCCGTAGCGTATCCCCCGTCTCACACCCACCGCCTTTAATAATATCGATATATCCATATCTTTATACAAAAACAGGGAGTGGACGAGCAACCACTACCGATGGATCGTGTGGAAGCTGGCCGGCATGGAACGCCGCTTCCCGCACCAGCTGGCCAACCGGCACCTCCTCCCGCACACCGTCCTCCACCAGCTCCTCTACCGGTATTGTCCCCCATTACGCCGCACACAGCTATTCTTCGCTGCCGCCGCCATCGCTGCTGAGTGGCGGGTGGTTGGGGCAATTAAGGTATGAGCGGGAGGTCAACAAGGCGAAGCGGTCGGCGCTCAAGATCATCCTGGAGCGGGACGAATCGGCCGGCCGCTCCATGATCCTCTGCGTCGCCGCCATCCGGTCCTACGGCGGCGATGCGCCGCCACCGCCTCCCGCCACTTCCACCACAGGTCTCTGCTCCCCGCCAATCAGGTGGCGCCTTGTTGTTGTTGCTGCTGACCCGTTGTGTGGTGTGTGCGGTGTGTGCGGTGTGAGTACGGTTGGGAACTGGTTTCTGTGTGTGTGTGTGTCGTGTGTGTGTCGTATGTCGTGTGTGTTGGGGCATGCAGAGGGCGGCGCAGCGGCAGCAGGGGCGGGAGGTGGAGAGGGGGCGGGTGGGGGCGTGATCGAGGTGACGGACGGGTGGTACTCGATCAACGCCATCCTCGATGAGGCCCTCACGCAGCACATGGCCCTCGGCAAGATCTACCCGGGCCTCAAGCTGCGCGTCATCGGCGCACGCGTACGACCCCCTCCTCCCGCGCTCTTCCACCACATGCTGACGTGGCTTGACAACCCCTAACCACGGCTGGTGGGGGCGCAGCTCAATGGAAACGATAACGCCATGTCCCCGCTCGAGGCCACGGGTACTCATCTCTTTCTCTCTTTCACATGACACGCGACGGCCCTGGAACACCCCGCGCCGAACTTATCACACACACTCTCTGCGCGCAGAGTCGACGACGCTGCTGCTCCAGGTCAACGCCGTGCGACGCGCCCTGTGGCACGCCAAGCTCGGCATCCAGAGAAAGTACACCAGACACTTCCACTCCCCGGCCAGCACCAATTCCATCGGGTTTGTCTGCTCACGCGCGGGCCACCACCACCACCACCCGAATGTGTTGTGTGTGTGTGTGTGTGTACACGACTATCCCTCCCCCTTCCAGACCCGTGTTTCCGGTCAGCCTTCGATCTGTGCGGCCCGAAGGTGGGCTCGTGCCGTGCGTGGACGTGGTGGTGGAGCGACGCTACCCTCTCCTCTTCCTGGAGAAGAAGCTCGACGGCTCTTTTATCACCCGCACCTCCGCCCAGGAGGAGCACGCCCGACGCCTGTTTGAGGTACCTCGCGCACACGCCTTTTTCGTGCCCGCGCTCGCATGTGCGTGTCGTGCGTGTCATGCGTGTGGTGTGTGTTATTCGCCCCACCTTCATCGTGTCTCACCCAACACGTGTGTTTCTCGCGGGCGTGTGCGTGTGTTCGCAGGCCAAGCGGAACCGGCTGGTGGAGGCCAAGAAGGCGGAGCTCGAGAAGGAGGCCAGCGCGCAGGCCTCCGCCGTCACCAAGACCAAGCCTCGCACCCGCTCCCCGGTATCCAAGGGTACACACCCACACGCGCCTCGCGTTGCCTGGCACCCCTACCCCCCCCCTCAATGGTCCTTTGCGCTTACGATCGTTGCGTGGCGGCGGCGGCGGCGGCGGCGGCGGCTGTGCTGTAGCTTCGCTGGCCGAGTGCTACGACGGGGAGACGCTGCTCGGGTGGATGGAGGGGGCGAGCGACCCGTACGACTTCCAGCAGCTGCTCAACCCGCGGCAGCAGGCCATCGTCCAGCACCACATGGAGCGCTCGCGCCTGGACAAGGACGAGGAGTTCGGCCGGCAGCTGGAGGACTTCATCGCCGAGCACCCCGACGCCACCCGCACCGTGACCCCCTTCGTGCGCGTCCGGCTGCGCGACTGCCCCGTGGTGGTGGCCGGCGACCAGCGGCCGCCTCGCAGCAGCAGCAGCCCGGGCGGCATGGGCGGCAAGAGCGACGAGTGCGTGCTCACGATCTGGCGGCCCAACGAGGAGGAGGTGGCCGAGATCTTCGAGGAGGGCGCACGCCTCCGCATCTACTTCCTCAACCCCCGACCGCCCAAGCCCGCCGGCCCCTCCGATGGTGCGCCATTCGATCGCCCGTGTGCTTTGTGTGTCGTGTGTGTCATGTGTGTCGTGTGCTGAGCGTGTGGCGTGTGTCTCGCAGCAGCGGGGACAGACGGCACGGTCATGACGGGAGGGTGGGCGGCCAAGCCCCGCACGCTGGAGCTCAGCACCACCCTCAAGACGCGCTACGCCCGGTACGTGCGCCCTCGCCCTACCCACGAGCCGTGCCTGCATTCCTCACCTTCCTCGTGCATGTGCGCGTAGGCGCGAGGGTCCGTCGGGCGTGTACCGGGCGCGGCAGGTGCAGGGCCTGGAGCACCTCCACGCGCAGCAACAGCAGCATCAGCAGCAGCAGCGGGGCTTCCGCGAAGCCTCTCGGGAGATCGACGTGGTGGGCGTCGTCGTGGGCGTGCACGGACCCCACGAGTGCAGCTACAAGAGCGGCCGCCCCTACCTTCTCACCCAGGTGCGTGCCAAGCGACCTACGACACACACGACACACACGCGCGCGCTAATGCGTATCTACCACCCACCACACCGCGGCCAGGTGTTTTTGACGGACTCCTCGGGAGAGCTGCTCTCGGTGGAGCTGCGGGAGCACCCGGACGTGGCCGTCTCCCGCTTCCCCTTCAAGGAGGCCCCCGCCACGTACCTCCCTCCTCTCGCCCCTCCCCCCTCGCGTGATGACGCGGTGCTGACGTGGTGGTTGGGGCGTTGGTGCGTTGCAACCAGGCCGACGGTGGTGTGTCTGTCGTCGCTGGCCTACCGGTCGTACGACGCCAACTTCGGGGTGCACCACGCTGCCGCGGAGGAGGCCACCGACGTGCTGCTCGCCCCGAAGGGGCGCTCCTCGCCCTTCGCCCCCGCCTACCGCCAGCTCGTCGCCTGGGCCGAACGGTACGCCTCCCCCCCCGTCATCGTCATCGCCGTCTTCGTTCTTCGTTCTTCTTCGTCCGATGCTGTTGGCTGACCGCTGCTGGCTGCTGCGTGCGCAACCAACCAATCAGGTCGCGGGAGGAGGTGGATGCGGCCCGCCAGCGCGTGGAGGCGCTCCTCACCGGGCAGCTCGTCCCGCGCAGCTCGTCAACGCGCCCGCGCCTCCCCGTCCGGGCTTCCCTCGTGGGCGCCCTCCTCCCGTTCTCCGCCGTCGCCTGCCTCCCCCGCGCTGGTCAGCAGAGCGGCGGGTGGGACATCTGCCTCTGGCCCGCCTCCGCCACGCCCCTGCCGGCGCGCTTCCCGCCTCGGTCCACATCATCATCAGCAACAGACAACATGGATGAGGACCACCACCACCACCACCACCACCAGCAGCAGCAGCAGGCCGACGTGGCGCTGTACGTGCTCCTCGATGACGGCCTGTCGCGGCACCGCGTAGCGCTCACCCTGCCGAGCCTCGTCGCCGCGCTCGACCTCCTGCGCCCGGCCCACCACCACCCGCCATCTGCCGCGGCCAGCATGCCCCTCGTGCCCGTGGAGCGGTGGCTCTGGCGCTGCCTCTCTTCGCCCGCTCCCGCCAGCCCCGATCCCTCGCCGCCGCAGCAGCAGCTGCGGGAACTGCTCCTCGCCGACCTCTTCGGCGGTGTGCGCTTCCCCGATGACGCCGGAGCGGAGGCCCTCTCTCTTCCGTCGCCGACGGCGCTGGTGGGCGAGGCCCTCGCGCTCGCTCTTCTCCATTCCACGCGGCCCGGGGCGGCGGAGGGCACGGCGCCCGCCCTCCCCGTTCCGCTGCCCTCCGCCTCTACGCAAACCCCGCCGGCGCCCTCGCGGCCGCTTCTCCTGGCGTGCGAGGAGTGGGACGGGTTCGTGGCTGCCCTGTCGGCCTCCCTCTCCACGGCCTACGACGACCTCGAGGTACGACAACGCTGTGTGTGTTGTGTGTCGTGTTGTGTGAGTGTGTGTGTGCGTGTGTGGTGCCGGTTGGACGTCACCGGTGACTCACAGTCCCCCTCAATGCAATGTGTGACGATCAGTGGGTGTGCCATCAGGTCAACGGCGAGGACGAAACGCAAACGGGCTGGTGGCATGTCCAGTCCGTACGCCGGCGTACCGCACCACCTTCCGTGTGAACTTGTTCAAGGCCTGCGCGTCCTTCGTGTGCGGGCGCTTGCGTCTTCTTCTTACGCTGTGGGGTGACTTGCCTTGTATTTACAAAAAAAAAGAGCTGGACGCGTGCGGCAAGCTGTTGTTGTGCCCTGCCGGCACTACTGGCGTGTGAGGGCGATATCGGGGTTGTGCAGACACAGCAGGTGCGCGACGCGCTCCACGCCCTCGCCATCGATGTAATGGACCTGGCGGTCGCTTGCTTCGACGAACCTGTCGTGGCGATAGATGATACTCTTGTTACTAATCATGCCGGCGATCTCTGTTGCTACGCCCGAGCGCGTGTGTGTGTGCGTTGTGTGGTGCTCGCGGCGGGCGCAGGTACCTGATGACCATGTTGAACGAGCCGTAGAGAAGGATCTGCGCCATCTCGTCGTACCGGAACCTGCATTCGCCGCCACCACCAAAACACAAAATAGTGCCATCAGGCCGCGTGAGCTCCCCCCAACGGGCATCCGGGTGGAACGTACGCCTCCTTGCGGGCTTGCGTGTCCGGTTCGAGGCGCAGCAGCTCCTCCGCGGCGAAGCGGTACAGCCTGCTCTCCCCTGTACACCATGCCCCCCCCCATCTCACTATAAATCATCGCCAGCCAGATGTGAGCGTGTGTGTCGGGGGGGGGGCGTACGTCTGTAGAGCCAGTTGGTGCGGGTGACTGTGACCTCGAGGGGCGCAGACCCGCCCTGGGTCTCGCCAACGTCGCCCCCGTGGGGGCGGTGGGCGTCGAGCAAGGTGAAGGAGATGTCGAGGTCGGAGGCGCTCCCGGACGTGGACAGGACTGCGAAGGCCGAGCCGGTTCGCTCCCTTCTTCCGCCCTCCGTTTCATCCACGATCTCGACGTCGTCGTCGTCTTCTTCCTCTTCTTCTTCTTCTTCGTTCTCGTTGACAGCACGCGCGCTCTTCGCCTTCTTCTCCACGTCGTACGCTTCGTCGCGCTCGGGTCTCTCTCGTTCGTTTTCGAATATGATTTCCACGTCGTCGTCGTCGTCCTGGTCCTCCTCCTCCTCGCCGTCGGTGCGGGTACGGCTACGGCTGCGCCGCCCGGGTGCGATGATGCTGGTGAAGTCGTCATGATCATCGCGATGAAGATGATGCGCATCGTCAGCATCGTCGTTGTCGATGATCTCCCACTCGCTGTCCTCCTCGACCTCTTCGCTACGCGGCTGTGGGACGACCCGCTTCGCCTCGTGACTCGTGCTGCTGCTGCTGCTGCTGCTTCGCCTGCTCGCCGCGGCGGTGGTCGCCACGGCTGAGGCAATTCGCTGGGGAGCGGCATCATCGTCAGCAATCGCACGCGCGTGGCCCGAGAGAGGAGTTGATGGCTCTGTCTTCGAGTTGCCCTCTTCCCCGCCTTCTTCCGCCGCCGCCTCCGTCTCTGCCTGGTCGTCTTCGGGCGTTCGCACGAACCAGCTCCTGTTCATCGCCGTTCCGTCGTCCACCTCTTCCTCCTCGTGCCCTTCGTCGTCGTCGTCGTGTTCTTGCGGGTGGTCGTTGTTCTCGTGCGCGAGTGCGACGGCGCTTTGTGTTCGCTTTCCATCTCCCCCGCTGCCTGGCCGTCTTCCTGGTCGCGCCGGATGACCGCGGCTGCTTCCTGGGCCTGGGCCGCGCGGCTGCGCTCTTCCGATTGGCGCACCCGGTCGAGCTCGCGCTCGCGCTCGCGCTCCTTCTTCCACTGCTCCTCGCCCTGCAGGAGCAGCTCCAGGATCTCGGCCCCGATCGTACGCTTGAGCGCCTCCATCCCGCCCTCCTCCACCTCCCGCGCGGCCCGCGCGATCGCCTCCTTCTCCCCGTCGCCGTCGTCGTCGGTGGCAGCGGCGGAGGCGGCCTTGGCTTCGACCAGCTGCGCCTCGCGTGGCAACGAGGCCGCCATCGTGGGGACGGGGAGCTGATGGTCGTCGGCGGGCATCTCTTCCGTCTCCTCCTCCTCCTCCACTTCCACTTCGAGGACCTCCTTCTTCTCGTAGAAGAGCACCGACGGCTGCAGATGGCCACGCAGGCATCGCTCTGTCGTGACACGGGGGCAGATGAGGTGAGTGTACCGCGGTAGTGGCCGCGAGGGGCCAGAAAAGTTGGGAGGGAGGGGGAATCAAAAACCTTTGACGGCGGCCCACGTGGAGCCGACGGCATTGACCATGACGTCGTCGAACACGTACCTGGGGCGGGGGTGAGCACTTTGGCCAATTCGAGGAATGGAAGAAGAAGAATACATGAACGAAAGAAATGCTGGGTACGCACCATTGGCCGGTGGCGGGGCTGTTGAAGTAGCAGTTGTAGTGCTGGCCGTAGTAGCAGATCATGCCCCGCAGCTCGTAGATGCACTTGACACGCTTGCCGCGCTGCTTCTTGCCACTGACGTTGGCGTTGGCGGTGGCCCTCGTTGACTTCTCGCCGTCGCCGCCAGGGACGGTGTCGAGGGCGATGCTGTCGAACACGCCCGAGCCGAGGAGCGAATCGTGCAGGGAACCGCTGGTCCCGCTGGCGTGGAGGTGCGACTTCTTCTCCTGCTGCAGGTACCGCCCGATGACCGTGTTGGTGATGAAGATGTTGCTCAGGTCGATCTGCATCGTGATCATGTCCATCACCTCCGCGATCTCGTCCACCGGCGCGCCCTCCACCGAAGGCCACACCAAACTGTTGCAGACAAAAGCACCAACCAAACAACATGAGCCAGCCAGCCAGCCAGCCAGCCTATTTGATGTCATCGTGGGGTGTGGTGTGTACCCAACGCTGAAGACCTTGGGCAGGTACAGCAGGTGGTGCTCCACCACGCACATCTTGTTGCAGCGGGCCTGGAACAATGAACACACGCGCCACCGCACACGCACCCAAGCGAAAGAAAAGAGCACACTGAGAGTCGGCACGAGGCACGCCCGCCACCACCGGCGGGGAAGAGGCGAAGAAGGTCGGCGTACGGCGTTGGGGCACCAGCGGCGGTCCTCTTGGGCGGCCCTCTGGAAGAATTGGCAGAAGGAGTAGCTACTACTACTGCCTTTGCCGGTTTCGTTGCCGGCCTTGGCGCGGGCCTCGCGCAGAGCGTACGTGTAGGCGTAGGCCACGAACAGCGAAGTGGCCTTCGGCTCTGTTTTCGCGCCAACCTACTCTGTCATTTCTCACATTCCACGATGCGCGCATGCAGCTGTGTGGGCGGGTGGGAGAGTGGGGGGGGGTGGGGTACCGGTGGTGGCGGAGCACGTGTCGCAGCGGAGGAGGTCCATGGTGCGCACCCCGAATGCGTTGTGCACCAGGCACGGGCACGCCTTCTTCTCCAGCGCGGCCGGATCCGCGTTTTTGTCCTTTTTGTGCACGTGTCGTACCAGACCGCAGTCAGCACTCGCCAAGAAGAAGAAGAAGAAAAGAGGCTAGTGCCGTACCTTTTGGGCGCGCTCTGTGTGGTGGAGGCGATCGAGGATGGCCTCGAGGGCTTCGGCTGCGTCGTCTATTTGGTTCATCTTGATCACGTGAAGCCAGAAGGAAAGACGGTTTCAAAACAACGTCGATGTCGCATAAGACGTACAAGCCCTCTGTGCCGACTGCAACCAGTCGGGGGAGGTGATAGGTGGTGGTGGTGGTGTGGTGGGGAGTACCTGGAAGCGCGACTCGTCCTTGTAGAGGACGGCGAGGGACTGGCGAAGCGCGGTGGGCGGGATGATGGCCTGCTCCGAGAACTGGTACTCCACGAATATGGCCTGCAGCGCGCAGTGCACGCACGTGTCGGGACCCGGACAGCAGTGGTCGTGCCCTCCCGACCCGCCCCTGACGAATCGCTCCCGGAACGCTGGCCGTGTGCGTTGTTGTGTGTGTGTGTGTGTCGTGTGTATGTGTGTATCGTGTGTATGTGTGTGTGTTGATGGGCGATTGATGGGAGAGGTGATGCGTGAGTCATTACTCAAGCTCTCGATTGATGTGACGGAGTAGTGGGAGGAGTAGTAGTGAGGAATGTACCGGTGAGGTGCCACAGGGCCTGGATGACGACGTTGATGAAGCAGTTGTACTGGCCCTGGTTGTTCTCCAGCCCCTTCTCGCCATCGGGCAGCTGCTTGGCCACGCACACCATGGCGCATGGCAACGAAAGAGAGAATCAGCAGGCAGGCTAGTAGGTAGTCGCGCATCAGCAGGGGCCAAGGAGAGCCACGCGCAGAACGAACCTTGACCTCCTGCTTGATGGGCAGCAAAGGCGCGGCGGAGGCGCTTTGACTTTGATGATGGCCGCCCGGCTGCTGCTTCTGCTGGTGCTGGTGCTGGGGGTGCTCCTCGCGTCTGTTGTGCTGGTGGTGGTGGTGGTGGTACTGACGGTCGACGGCATCGTCGTAGGCCTCGTACTCGGGGAAGAGCCGCAGGAGGCGTGGCTCGGGCGTGAGCGGCAGCGGCAAAGCCGGCGGCGACTCAACTCGCTTGGGCGGCCTCTGCGGCGGCGCGTAGCCGGGAGGTGCCTGTGGCTGTTGTGTAGAGCTGCTGCGGCCGTGACCGTGGGAGACCGCAGTCTGCCCTCCTCGTTGCTCTGGCGTTGTAGCTGCAGTAACCCTCCCAGGGGTTGTGGTAGCCGCGCCTTTGGAAGACTTCTTTGTCCTCCCGAACAGATTCACCCCGCGCATCATCCTTAATCAGGGGGCGATCCCTGGATGCAGGGTTAAAACAAATTTCAACAAGAACAGAACAAAAAGGCCTGTTAATGGGGCAGAAGGTCTCGTACCTCTTATCAAGTCTCTCCCTGGACAATAAGAACCGATTGGGGAAGCAGGAAGCGAATTGATTATGTGAAGATCGTGTGGTGGATTCCGCCGAAAGGGCGTTTTTCTTCTTCCTTTTCTTTTTCGAAATGTTGTCGACGCCGACTTTCGGGCTGCTAGTTCTTCTTCTCGCCGGTGGCGGCGGGGCCGCCTGCTCCGGCGGCCTTCTTGAACTGCTTGATCTTCTTGGACTTCTCCTTCCTGAGCTTCCGCCCCTGCTTGAGATCGTACGTGGACACCGTCTCGATGTGCCGACGCGCGATCGGCCGCCTTGCAATCTCCTTCCTCTTCGACCGCCTGTACACCATCGCCCGACGACACGTGTAAGCTTGACCTCAAGAGAAGGACGATACACCCAGGGTGGGCTCGAGGGGCGAAGATGACGGGGCGTACGGGGCCTTCTCGATGTTGAGGATCCATTCGGGCACGTCGCATCCGGAGTTCTTCATGATGTTAGCGATGGAGCGGATCATCACCACGTCCTCCTCGGTGAAGAAGGTGATCGACTCTCCCGCCCTGCCCGCACGACCCGTACGACCTGTCCCGCCGCCACCACATCATCATCATCATCATCACAACCCCACGACGGAGGACATAATGTTAAGTCGTGCATTGCGTTGTGTGTCATGGTGTGTCGCGTCGTAGGAGACGGTGGGTGAGGCGAGGCGTACCGATTCTGTGAATGTACTCCTGGGTGGTCTGGGGGAAATCGTAGTTGATGACGCTCGAGACGCCGCGGAAATCGATACCGCGCGCCATCAGGTCGGTACAGATGAGGATCCAGATGGCGCCCGACCGGAAGTTCTTGATGATGCTGTCCCTCTACACATTCCAAGAAGAAGAAGAAGAAGAAGAAGAAGAAGAAAGCACGCGTTCATGTTGAGGTTAGTTTGCGTTGGAAGCACGGCCGTGTGCCCCGGGTTGGGAGTAGTATACCTGGGCCTGGGTCCTCTCCGAGTGGATGACGTCGACCTTGAGGTTCTCGTAGATGAGCTCCCGGAACAGCTCCTTGGCTCTGTCCTTCGACTGCACGAAGATCAACACCGGAGGCTTGATGCCCTGTTGGTTGTTTGGTTGTTGGTTGTTGGTTTGAGTCAGTGTGAGCGCACGCACGCAACACACGGCATCAGACACACAACACGACACGCAATGCGGTCAACCTGGGTGATCATCTGGCGGAGCATGAGGAGCTTGCCCTCCTCGCGGCCGACGAATTCGAGGCGCTGCTTGATGGTGGTGGTGGCGGCGTCGCGGGTGCCGATGGTGAGGTGGACCGGGTCGCGGAGGAACGTGCGCGCGAGGTCCTCGACGATGGGCGACATGGTGGCGCTCCACAGCGAGCGCTGCACGGCCTGGTTCGTGCAGGCGGCGATGATCTCGTCGACCTGCTCCATGAAGCCCATGTCGAGCAGCTTGTCGGCCTCGTCGAGCACCAGGTGCTGCACGCTGTCGAGCTTGAGCGATTCGGTGCGGAGCAGGTGGACCAGCCGCATGGGCGTGGTGACCAGGATGTCGAAGCGCGTGGTCGACGAGAAGCTGTTCTCGTTGGCGTTGGCCTTGGTGAGCACGCAGATGCGGAACTCCTTGCCCTTGGACAGCTTGCGCAGCTCGCGATAGATCTGCTGCGCCAGCTCGCGCGTGGGCGACACGATCACCGCCCGGAAGCCCACCTTCTCCGGCTGCTTGAGCTTGCTCAGTATCGGCAGCACGTACGCCGCCGTCTTACCCGAGCCTATAGTTCAAGGAGTGGCACCACGAGATCAGACACACACGACACACACGACCACACACGACACACGACGGTGTGTGGTGTGCGTACCGGTGGGGGCGATGGCCATGAGCTCGCGCCCGTGGAGGAGGATGGGGATGGACTGCATCTGGATGGGCGTCGGGGTGGTGTAGCCCGCCGCCTCGATGTTGCGCAGCAGGTACGCACGCATGCTCGCCTCCAGCTCTGCGAAAGCCGTGATGGGCGCCGGCACGTCCCCGCCCTTGACTCGGATCTTGTGCGCATGGCGCAGGTTGTTGACCTGAGCCACGACACGACACACACACGACAGCCCAACCACGTTTAGCAAAAGGCGAATCATAAAGAATGGCAAAGCGGAGGAGGAAATGGAAGGCGATCGCTACCCTCTCCCGCTCCTTCTGCTGCTCGCTGGAGATGGGGGTGGCCTTCTTCTTTTTCTTGGTGCCGCCCTCGTTCTTGATTTCGCTCTTGCCGAACAGCGCCACCTGGTTGCGCTCGTCCTCGTAGTCCCCCTTCTTCTCTTCCTGCTTCTGCTGCTGCTCCTCCTCGTCTTCCTCTTCCTTGGCCTCCTCCTCTCCGTCTTCGTCCTTCACCGGGGCCTCCTTTGTGGCCTGCTTGTCCTTCTTCGCCCTCTTGTTGTTCTTCTTGTTCTTCTTGTTGTTGTTCTTCTTGTTGTTTTTGCCGTTCTTCTTCTCTTGCGTGTGCTCATCGTTTTCTTCGCTTTGCTGCTCGTCGTCTTCATCGTCCTCTCGCTTTCGCTTCTCCTGCACCTGTGCAGCCGGACGCAAGCATGAGGTGGTTTGGCGGTGTCGCGTGTCGTGTGGTCGCGTGCGGTGGCGTGTGTCTGATCGCTGCCCACAACTTTGTGGAGGGGCGGTAAGGTACCTTCTGCTTCTTGAGGCTCCCAAAAAAGTCGAGGCTAGCGGCAGGGGTGGTCTGCGCTCGCGCGCTCCCGACCACTACGTCCGTGGCGCTCTGCACGAGAAGGGAATTTATTTATTATTGTATATTACTAATAATAAAAGATAAGAAAAATCGCGGTCCTGAAGGTGTAATCCTTGCGACAAACGATTAACTCAGAGGGTGGCACATGAAGGGATCTTGCAAGATCGTGTGGTAAAACCAGCACAGGGAGGAATGGATGAAAAGGATCTAGTCGCGGAGGTGGTAAATCTGCCGTACTTTGAAGAAATCAATGTCGTCGGCATACTTCTTTTTGTTGAATCGCACGCCACCACCGAGTTGGCGAAACACGTCTACCGAATCCATCGTAAGTTGTGAATTTATGAAGATTACAGCCTCCGGAGCGGGGGCAAAAAAAAAGCTAAATTGGAAAAAGAGAAAAAGACACGAAACCCAAAAACTCGTTTCGAAACACTTTGGTCAAAGCCAACAACGTAAAAGACAAGATCGAAGATGCTGCGCGAGGTGCTGCTGTCGCTGCTCAACTTCTCGTTCTGGCTGGCACTGCCGGCTGCCGTTCTCAAGCTGTGGCGCAGCATCTATCGTCCTCGCGAGTGGGAAGCCAAGGGTACCCAGGCTAGACTAAAGGCACAACCACAGTCCCTTATTGGATCATATTCGTTGTTTTGGTGTTGGGTGCAGGCAGGGGAATCGTCATCACGGGCGCATCGAGTGGCATCGGTGAGGAGCTCGCCTACCAATACGCCAAGCAGGGCAGCAGGTCCTTATTCCTATTTTATTTTTATTTTTATTTTTTGTTTTGTTGTGATACGTCGATGGTTGTGCGTCGTTTCGTGTGCGATGGAAGGGGGGGGGCATACAATCGAGCGCGCACGACACGTCACACGGCCCACAATTACCACACGAATACATCGTTTCGCTTTCGACTGAGCCTGCGCGTGCAGGCTGGTGTTGTGCGCTCGACGGGAGGGCGAACTGAAGGCCGTGGCCGAAAAGTGCGAGTCGCTCGGCGCACAGCTCGTGCACTACACGCTGGCCGACGTCAGCAAGACCGATGACTGCAAGTAGTACCCTCCCATCCGCCCAGCGTGCGTCCAGTGTCTTGACCGCTCACACGCCTCATCTTGCAACGTGCAGGAGGCTGATGGAGGAGGCGGCCGAGAAGTGCGGCGGAGTCATCGACATGATCGTCCTCAACGCCGGCATCTCCATGGGCGTCCCTTTCGAGGTGCCACTCCTTCTACACTCTATTTATTTATTTATATTAGAATTTATATATATATGTTTGAGTGAGGTGCTGATATGTTGTTGTGTCGATCTGTGTGAACAGGATGTGGAGGACCTGGCCATCTTCCGGCGGCTGATGGAGGTCAACTACTACGGCTGCGTGGACTGCACCCACTTTGCGCTGCCCTTCCTCAAGAAGTCGACGCATGCCAAGATCCTCGTCATCTCCTCCCTCGCCGGCAAGGGCGGCGTCCCGCACCGCTCCGGCTACTGCGCCAGCAAGTTCGCCCTCCACGGTGCGTACTGCACCACCCTGATTCGCCGCCGCACGTTGCTGACTGTCGTGTCGTGTCGTGCGGTGGCCAGGGTTCTATGAAACGCTGCGCCAGGAGCTTTCGCCCAAGTACCCGATCGGGGTGACGCTGGTGTGCCCGGGCTTCGTGAATACCAACATCAACGCCACGCGCCTCGGCCCCAACCCCACCACCTTCGACATCAGCAAGGCCATGCCCGTCGAGGTTTGCTGCACCCGCCTGCCTCCCCGCGCACCAGCCCCCCTGCCTCTCCCGGCACTCGCTTATTCACCTCACTTGACATGTGGTTGTTGTTTGGGGGGGGGAGAGCAGGAGGCGGGGCGGATCATCGTGTCGGCGGTGAGGAACGGCAAGCGCGAGGAGGTGTTCACGCGCGAGGGCAAGATCGGCGAGTGGGTGCGCTTCTTCCTCCCCGAGCTCTACGACGCCGCCGCCATCCGCAAGATCGCCGTCGAGACCAAGCGCACCGACCAGCACTAAGTAGGCCACGTGGCAATGGAAGAGAAAAAAGCTAAAATAAATGTTGTTCCAACTTCAACGTAACAAAGACAGATCAGACGACGGTGGAGGTGGTGGGTGCTTGCATGGCTGATGTTGGTGGTGGCTCTGTCTCACTTGGCCTTGCCGCGGATCCGGGTCTTGTCGGGCAGGCGGAGGGGCGCGCGGAGGGTGAACACGCGCAAGCCGCGGCCGGCGGCGGCTGCGGCTTCGGCGTCCTCCTCGTCGGCCTTGCTGGCGCCGGCGCCGGCCTTCTTGGAGAAGCCGCTCCGGCAGCCGATAGAGATAAGGTACTGCTGGCACTTCTTGCTCTCGAGCTCCAGCGCCGTCGAGAGGGTGGCGACGTCCAGGCGGAACTCGGAGGCGTGCAGGAGGAGAATGACGATGTAGGTCGTCATGCGGGTCATGCCGAGCGTCGACGCGCGGAAGCGCCGGCCCTCACCGTCGGCGAAGAGGGGCAGGAAGTGGCGCACCACCTCCTCCGGGAGCACGCCGTGCACCGCGTCCTTGGCGTCCCCGAGCATGAACGCCCCGCGCTTGTCCTTGATGAAGCTTCGCAGCTTCAGCAGCGCCCCGATCAGCGACAGTAACCGGCCCTGTACAGCGTTGCGCATCGTGTCGTGCCACGCGTGGCGTGTGGCGTGTGAGACGTGGCACGGCCAAGGGTAGGCGGGAGTGGGGAGTAATAAGACCTGGCGCTCCAGTTCGCCGGGGAGGAGGTCCCTGAGGCCCTTGACGCGCTCTGCGATGTAGCTGCCGTACCTGCCCACGGTGGAGAGGGTTCTGGGGTAAGAAGAAAGAAAGAAGAACGAAGACAGAAAGAAAGAAGACGAAAGAATAAGAGGCGGCGGGGCTCGTGCGGGGCGGGGCGTACTTTTTGGCGGTGGCGGAGAACTGGGCGGGGTCCTTGGCGGCCTGGATGAGGGGCTTGGGGTCGATTTGGCCCAGGAAGTCGAAGGGGATCACGTCGCCCAGCGGGTAGATCTCCGACACCGTGTCCGTGAAGCGTTGTGGGGCGGCAGCTCGGGATACAGCTGCACACAGATATATATATATATAACACACACACACACATTCCAGGGTAAAATATAAATAATATTCATATGACCACCCAGCCAGCGCACGAGGCGGGGCGGACAAACCTCGGTGTTGATCTGGCCATCGGAGGTCGCCTTCTGGGCGGCCTTCTCGTCGAGGCTGGTCATGATGTCGTCCGCGTGCGACACCGAACCTATGACGCACACGACACGCGTGGGAGGGAGGGGGAAGGGTGGTTAGGCAGGCGCCCGAGCATGTCCGGGGGGGGGGGTTTGAGCGGGCGCGGTACCGGTGACGATCTTGTTGGCCAGGGTGGAGTGGACCTGCGATCGCTTCTTCTTGCTGCCGAAGCGCTCGATGAGCGAGCGTCGCTGGTCGCCGAACGACCGCTCGTCGTCCTCCGCCTGGACGATGAGTGCAGTGGAAGAGAGGGAGGAGGGGTGGGGGAAGGTGCGGCGACGTCAATTGACTTAAGTCGCAACACGCGAGGCTCGAACGAAGGGCGCGACGTACGTCGGTAGGGAGCGTCGGGGTGTAGCCCTTGATCTGCTGCTGCATGTGGTAGAAGTTGGCGATGGGCACCATGGTGGCCTTGTTGGTGGTCCTGTCCACCGCCATGATGTAGTATCTGCCGACACACACGACACACACGGTAGGCGAGTCAGCAGAGGAAGAAGAGCAGCGGTGGGCAGAGAGCAGGATGGCGCAAGTACTTGGAGGGATTGCGAACGACGGGCTGGCCGAGGTAGAGCATCTTGTCCGTCTCGGCCACGAGCATCTTCTTCGTTCGCGTGATGCCCTTGTTCTCCCACATGCCGAACGCGATGCCGCCTTCCTTGTTGTGCAGGCTCGCAAGTGGAGGTGGCGCGTTCGGGAAGCAAGCTGCACCAGGCCCAGAAAAGAAAGAAAGAAGTGGAAAACGCATTGGGATTAACAAAGGAAGCAAACACAAGCATAAATAAATCATCAGATTAAATTGCAGGCCTACAACAGAATTAGTGGCGTTGTGATTGAAAAAAGAAAATGCTGCGGTAAATCGCGGCACAAATCCGGATGAGATTAAATGTGGAAATGGAGATGGCACCTAGGCTCGGAGCGACAGCGGGACGATTCTTTTCCGATGTGATGGACAATCGTTGGCGCTTGCGGCGGTCGGTGGCAAGCGAAGCCTCATCGTTCCCAGATTTGTGAGCCTTTTCCTTGCCCTTGCCCGTTGGCTTCGTCTGTTCGTCAAATTTCCTCTTGGGCTTGCTAGCAGGCTCCTCCAGTTCCATGACATCCTTGTTGGATGACTCTGCTTTCTTCTCCTTCTTCGATATCTTTCCGCTGCTTGGGGAGGCCGAAGATGAAGCTCCGTTAGAGGCACTCTTGGTGGGTGTGTCGCTCGTCGAAGAGGTGCTCTTCCTCTTCTTCTTCTTTTTATCAGGCGTGGGTGCCGCCATTGGTTTTGCCACCGCCGCCGTGTCCGCCATCTTGTGCTCAATCTCAATCCCTCTATGTTGCGTGTTTGTTTTTTGTTTTTTGTTTTGGTTTGGTTTCAAACCGTTTCCAATTTCATTTGTTTTCGAAATGTGTTAACAGTCCGACTATTTACAGCAAGGATTTGCATGGCTCAAATGTACAGCCCATCTTCATGATTCTCTGGCTCGGCAGCGTGCTTCGGCAAGAGATCCTGCAGTTCCTTGATTTGTATCTCTCGCTTTAGGATAACGCCCTTGTTTTCTGCACAATCGATAAGATAAGCTTGTAAGAGCAAAGAATGCCAAGCTTGAAAGGAAAGAAGAGCACCCTCGATAGCATCTGCGAAATCCTTATCGTATTCCTCAGCGAGTGCCTCCTCGAGCTCGGCATTGGATCGCACGAGATGCTTGATCTGATTTCGCAGCTCTTTAATCTGTGCCTGCACCACCTCTACCTGGTCCCCGGCTACAGTTGTTTGACTTGCCGCTCCTCCCGTAGAGGGCTGCTTGCGAAAGTCTGTCAGCGTCACGCCGGGCATCACCTGCCGCTCCTCTGGCTCCATCTTTGCTAGTTGTTTGGCTTGATGAGTTGGCTTTTCCTTCACTATTCCTTGTCTTCTACGTTGCCATTTCCCGCTCTTTTTTTTTTGGACGCGAGGATGGCGCGGAGGGGTGGCGCCAGCATCTTGAGCTCCTACGGTTGGGGATCGCGAGCATGCTCACAACTTTCCACGGACGGACCTCTGCAGGCGCTGCTCACCTCTTCCAGGCGCCGTTTCTCTTCATCTCTGCCGAATAGTCCGGCCTCGTCCTGGACTCGCCCCCACGGCAAAGAGACTGGCGTACGCATCTGGAACAGCCTCACTTCAAGCGAGGTGCCCCTCATCTCCACCTCCGCCACAAACACGCTTTCCTGGTATTAGCTGCCCCCCCCCAAACAGAACTCTTGCACTACAGTAGTAGACGTCTGACCCCTGCCCCAGGTATACTTGCGGGCCGACAGTCTACGACGTCTCCCACTTGGGGCATGCTCGGTACGATTCAGTCCGTCCATCGCAACTTGCTGGTGTGTTTCTCTCACGTGTGTCTGTTTGGCCAGAACGTATGTGACGGTGGACATCATACTGCGGGCATTGCGGGAGTACTTTGGGGTGCATGCCTGGCATGTGCTCAACATCACCGATGTTGACGACAAGATCATCAAGCGAGTACCTCCCCTGTGCTCTCTCCTCCACTCGTGATGTCGGCTTGTGAGTCACGCACATTCCTGACGTTCACCTCGTGCGCCAGTCGAACGAGGCGGGAGTGCCAGCACTGGAGCTGAGCCAAAAGTTTGAGCGGGAGTTCTTCCGCGATCTGACGGCGCTGGGCGTCGAGCCGCCCTCCACCGTGCTGCGCGTCAGCGAACACATCGACGAGGTGCTCTCTCCCTGCTCAAAAGCAAAGGAGAGTGCGAGAATGCAACTCACTTCCGCCCTTCCCTTCGTTCAACGCTGTCCAGGTGGTGCAGTTCATCCGAAAGCTGGAGAGCGATGGGGTGGCCTACGCCACGCCGTCGGGGGTCTATTTTGACACTCTGCGATTCAGCGGGTCGCATAGCTTCAAGATGGCCCCTGCATTCGAGGACGGTCTTGAAGGTATAGTATGCTATGCCTTCTGTGCACACGATTATATGTGATTGGGCGGGGCGGCCACCCCGTCTGTCTCTCGCTCGCTCACGCGTCTGTTTGGTCGACAGAGAGCGGGGATGAGGTGGGCAGCCGAGACAAGAGGAACGTGCGCGACTTTGCCCTCTGGAAGGCCGCCAAGGAGGGCGAACCTTCGTGGGCTTCTCCCTGGGGTGCAGGTCGGCCAGGCTGGCATATTGAGTGCTCTGCTATGTGCTCGTATGTACTACTCCCTCGCCCTCCAATTGTGTGCGTGTGGTGTGGTGTGTGTGTGGGAGCGGGCTCTGATCCTCACTCACGTGTGTTTGCGCGCAGATCATTGTTCGGGTCGCACCTGGACGTGCACGCCGGTGGCATCGACCTCAAATTCCCGCACCACTGCAATGAAGTGGCCCAGTGTGAAGCCTTCCATGGCTCGCAGCAGTGGGGCAACTACTTCATCCACGTGGGTCACCTGCACATCGCGGGGCTGAAGATGTCCAAGTCGCTCAAAAACTTCGTGTCCATTCAGGACTACCTGAAGAAGTACACCGGTACGCCGCCGTTCTCATGACCGCCCGTGGGTCATCATCTGCGTGCCACCTCACACAGGGGGAACACCTCCTCCTCCTTCAGGCCGACAATTCAGGATCTTTTGCCTGCTGCATGGCTATGGCAAACCGGTCGACTACTCGGAAGAGCACATGCAACACTCGGTAGGGTCCACCATCCCCCCTTGGGGTGCACACCGCACGTCACCGCCACATCCGCTTGCACATGCCGTGCGGCTTGTTGATCTCTCTCTCTCTCTGTGTGTGTGTGTGTGTGTGTCGGTATATGTCGTATGTCTGTTTGTGTGCGCGTGTTATGTGTCGTGTGGTTTATGGTAGGTGCTACCGGTGGAGAAGCGTTTGGACGACTTTCTGGCCCTCACATATGCCCGCATGAGGCAGGCCGGCGCCAGCCGGGACGTCAACAACCTCAAGTGGGGCGAAGCCGAGAAAGCGCTCCAGCAGGACGTGCTGACGTGCGAGGTACTCTCCCCGCTTTTCGCCTCCGCCTTCCCGTGGTTGTCGCTTGGCCGACTTTCGGATTCGTCCGTGCGTCATCTTCGAGGGTGGATGGCACAAGCAATTGCTGGCTCTTCAAGCTCCGTCCTCTCACTCGTGCCTCTTTTCTCTCTTGCGCGCGCGCAACTCCAACAGCACAAGGTGAAGGAGAGCCTGGCCCGCAACATCGACACCGAGGATGCGCTGACGAGCGTCCTTGATCTGGTGACCCGCGGGCACGCTTACCTGCAGGCAAGCCCCGGCCCTCATTCTACTTCTACACGACTTTGTCCGCTTCACTCCCCGCCCGGACGAGATCACCGCCACTAAACGCCGCGCCTCCCACCTCCTTCCACACACGCATACATAGGCGTCTTCGGCGCCGCGCACCGAGCTGCTGGCATCGCTGTCGCGAGCGGTGAGCAGGCCGTTGCGCGTGTTCGGCGTACTTCCGCAGGCGGGAGGAGAGGGAGGAGACGGTGCGGCGGAGAGCAAGGAGGCCGAGATACTGGACACGCTGGCTCGCTTCCGGCAGCAGGTACCCTGCCCCCTGTCTGGCGGCCCCTCGTCACCCGCGACCTTCCTTCCTTCCTCTCTCTCTCTCTCTCAGAGTCGTGAGTCCTGACCAACGCGTGCGTGGTCCGCAGGTGAGGAAGACGGCCATCTCTTCGGCCAACGTGAAGAAGGACGTCCTCTCGCTCTGCGACCAGCTTCGGGACAAGGACCTGCCCGCCGTGGGCTTCCGGCTCGAGGTCAACCCTCCTCCTCCCCCGCCGCTTTATCTTTTGCCTTTCTCTCTTGCGTCGTGTCCTCACCAATGTCCCTGCACACAACACACACACACACACCCACCACACAACAAACAGGACGACCCAAAGGCCGGCAGCTTGTGGAAGAGAGCGCCCGGCGGAGGCGGAGTCCAATAAAAGGATCATGTTTCGGACCCACAGCAGCGCAGATCTGTCACCCGACCACTGCCGTGGCACGCCCCACGCGCTACACGCAGGCCCTTCTTAGCGGCGGTGCCGGGGCTCCCAACATCCCGCATTCCCCTCCCTGCTTCGGCCCCTTGCGACGTTGACCCCCCGCCAGGTACCTGTCTCGGCTGTGTTCTCCCTCTTCTGCAGAAGGCCACCGGTACTGGTGGTGGTGTTGGGCCACGCTCTGGTGTCGAGAGGGTGCGGTGGAGAGACCCCAGAACCACCAGATCAGATCATGGCGACATCAGGTCTCTCTGTGGACCGGAACGCGCGGTACGTCACCGTCGTTCTTTCGCCCTCGCTTCTGCGAATGACCACCCGGACCGAGGCCGAGCTGACGGCGACGGCAGCAATCGTGTTGTGCGTGCCCGCGTAACCAGCTTCATTCAATCTCGTTTTTTGAGCGCAGGGAGCGAGTGGTCCGCAGACAAACGGCGACTGGGCCGAATTCTGTGGAATTCTGCGGCGGACAACTGGATGACACACGCCAAGGCTCGTCAAGGCCGCCCTATCGGCGAGGCCCACGTCAGCATGCGACTGGGCCGGGATTGGGCCGTCCCGCGGTCGAGTGCGGATAAGGATAAGGTGCCCCTTCGTTCCCCTCGGATTTCTGGGCAAGTGGGTCGGGCACCGTGTATCTGTCGGCGATCTTCTCTGTCGGCCGGCCGGAAGCGGGCGCGAGCGGATCAAGACGCGTCGCTCGCCGTCTTCGGACGCGCACCACCGCCCACGGTTGGGCCGGCCCGGTGGGGGGGCTGGCCGTCTATTTATTCCAACCAACCAACCCTCTTCTTTCTCTGCAGAGCGTTCAGCAGAAGCGTTTGAAGAGTGACTTGTACCACGGCCACGAGTCAGCTTCCACACAGCTCTCTCTCCACTCGCGCCCGCTCCTCTTCCCTCTCTCTTTTTTTTCTTCTCTTCTTCACTCTTCATCCCCTAGGCGAAGAAGCACCACCACACCTTATCACGCGCGCAGCGAAGAAGGAAAGCACCCGCCACACCGCGCACCCACCACAACAGCACTCAGTCGAACACCCACTCACTCACTCGCTCACAGCCACTCACCAACACACACACACACATACGCGTCGATGAGCAACACTGCGGCCGCGACGACGGCACCGGCGACGGGCGGCACCACGACCAGCACGGCGGCCAACGTGCGCACGTGGGCGGGCCACCGGCAGGCCTTCCCGCTGGGCCAGTCGCACACGCCGCTCACGTCGATGCCCACGCTCGGCCGGGCGCTGACGGACGGCAACCTCAACGAGGTGGGCTTCGTCAACTCCTTCCTCCAGCACTTGGCCCAGCAGTCCGGACCCGATCGAGAGGACGACTCGGACGAGGACGCCAAGTACGAGGAAGAGGACGAGGAGGCGGCCCGCGAGTACGAAGACGACGAGGACTACTACGCCCGCAACAAGAAGCGACGCTCCCGCTGGCGCGCCAACTACCCCAAGATCAAGAAGCCCAAGCGACCCACCGGCGACGGCGGTGGCTCGTCGGCCTCCTCCTTGTCGTCGTCTTCGGCTTCACGTCGCCGCGCGAGCGTCAGCGTCACCGCCAGCAACTACGGCGCCGGCGGCAGCGGCAGCGGCATGGTGAGGAGGGAACAGCGGTCCAACTCGGTCTCGTCCTACTTCGCCATGCGCAACAACGAGGCCAACAACAACATGAACATGAACATGAACGCCAATGTCACCGAGAACAGCAACGGCAGCAGCAGCCCCTCGTCGGCGTTCGGCGGTGACTACATCGACTCTCGCCTCTGCTCGCCGCCCGACCATCACCAGCAGCCGCCGCCGCCTGCCCCGCGGTCTTCCTACTCGCACGGCGGCCGCCCCGACCTGGGCCTGCCCGAGTGGATGGCCGCCCCCTCGTTGCCCTCTGGCGGCGGCCCCGACCACGACGAGCTGCCCGCCGTGCCCAGCCCGCCGCCGCTCTACCCGGTGGGCCTCCCCTCCATCCAGCCCTTCTACCCGCCCCCGCCCCCGCCCCACCACCACCACGACCAGCGTCACCACCACCTCCTCCAGCGTTCGGCCTCCTCTCCCGCCGTACTTCCGCCGTCCTACGCCTCCTTCTCGTCGCCCGCACGTCTGGCCGACGCCAACGAGCCGTACTACTCGCCGCAGCACCACTACCCTACCGTGCAGCAGCAGCAGCAGCCGCCGCCGTTGTCGGCCTCTACGTGGGGCATGCCCCCTCCCGTGCCGGTCTCGCTCACCACCAACGTCGCGACGGCGGCCATGGGCGACGAGGACGATGAAGTCTTGGAGTCGAGCAGCACCGGCATGCCGCAGCAGCAGCGCCCGCTCGACTACATGGCGGTGGCGGGTCCGCCGACAGACGACGACGAGGGGTCGTGGCTGGAGGACCTGCTGCGCATGGAGCAGCCCTCGTCGGCGGCCGACAGCTCGTCCTTCCCCTCCACGCCCCTCTCGCCCGCCCACGCCAACCACCACCACCACAGCGTGCACGGCCAGCACCAGCCGACCTCGTCGGCCAAGGACGCCTTCTACGCCGAACTCTTCGGCTTCTGATCGATCTCACGTGAGACGCCGCCGCTTAGCCGGTTCTTTGCACATAGTACACAACTCCCTCCTCTCCCCCTTCTCTGACTACATCTGCGGAATCATCCGGTCCATGACCGCGTAGCAGCTCTGCGCCATCGATGCTCCCCCCCCCCACCAATGTAAAGCTTCCCTCCTTCCTCCCCCATCAGCCGCTCCAGGCCATGTAAGCCACCATCACCACAACACACAGCACACATGTAATCAAGCTTCCCCATTGCACCATCAACAACAACAAGCCCACTTTCACATCACCCTCGCCTCACAAAACCATCGAACGCGGAGCACGCGCCAGGGGTCGGGTAAAGAGAAGGGGGGTTTATGGGTGGAGTGGGGTGTGTGTACAGCGGGCCAAAGTCCCCTGCTTAGGCGGAGGACGCCGTGCTGCTGCTGGAGGAGGAGGGGAGGACAGCTGCGGGGAGGCGGTGGTGGTAGACGTAGGTGTTGAGGGCAGTGCGGAGGGCGTGCGGGACGCGGGTGCGCCACCAGGCCACGCGGTTGAGGCCAGCAAGATCGGCGAGCGTGGTCACTCCGCGCTCGTGCTCGAGGCGCTCGAGTGCAGCGTGCCACTTGCTCCACACCCGCTCCTCCTGCCTCGGGGGCAGCCCTCCCTCGCGCACTGCCTTCTTGAAGAGGCCCTGCACTACAGATCGGAGGCTCACCTCGCGGGCGATTTCATCGGCAACCTCTACGTGGCCGGGGTACATGACCTGGTAGATCGTCTCCCGCGTCCATTCGGCACCTTCGCTTGCCTGCTCCAGGGTCGGAGGATTGCCGGGAATCCAGGGTGTGCGGCTGCCACCCTCCGCGAGCGTCGTGGTGGTGTAGAATCGGGAAGAAGAAGAGATTGCGCCCCTCGAATTAGAAAAGAGAGAACGGGCGGCGCCTGCCGCCACAAAACCTCCTCGAGCACCGAACCTCTCCGCCGCACTGCCGCAAACGCCCACTCGCTTCATCATGATGATATCCGCTCCGCTTCTAATTGTGTCTGATCGCCGGACTTTCCCTTCGCTTTGCTTTTCTTCTTCGTCGCATTTTTCATCTTTTCCCGGCGACAAAATTGGCGCGAAAAACGGAAATTGTGGCACAAAGATGGACGCGCAACACACAACACCACCAGCGCCCGACATCACCCTTACAGATGCGGCAGGTGTCACCAAGCAACTTCAATTGCCGTCTCGTTCCGACGTTGCAGGTTGCTCCCCCTTAGTGCCCCCCTCCACAGATTTTGCAACTGGAGCTCACCTCAGATCGACCCCGAAGGAGGCCCGCAGAGACAGAGGAAGTGGTTTTCAAGCGACCCATTAGTCCGACTGCTCACCTCAAGCGACGGGCACCCGTCTCTACAGCGTCGGGAAGAAAGGGCCAGGTGCGGCTATATGTACCCCACGAGTACAGTGCGCAGTCTGTCGTTGGTACGCACATTGCTGAACCCCCCCCCCCGATTCATGGTGTGCAGCTCGAGGGCATGAGGAAACTGATGGCCGTCAAGCGGCTCCGGCGCTCCACCACCCCAGTCACTGCTGGTCCTCCTATCCCAGCTGCGGACGGGAAGGTGGTCTACGTCTACTCCCGCGAGGCCACCATCGCTGCCGGTAGAGCGCGCTCCTCTCTCTGTCCTCGTGACCCCCCTCCCCCTCCCCCGACGATGGCCACTCACTCACTCACGTGGGGGGGGGGTCCAATATGTGCGGCGCGCAGACCTGCTGCCGGTGAACCAGGGCAAGGCCGAGCGGACACACGCGCTGGCGGCGGCCTACGGCCTGCTGCAGCCATCGCTGGTGCGGCTGGTCGCGCCGAAGGAGGCCACCGTGCAGCAGCTGACGGAGTTCCACGATGCCGACTACCTCGAGCGTCTCACCGACTCCAAGCCGCAGCCCAAGAAGCAGCCCGAAAAGAGGAACATTTTCGGCATGAAGATGGGCAGAGGTAACGCCCATCCTCCATAGCGGCTTGCGCGCCGTGTTGTTGCGGTTATTCTTGGGTGGCTGCTGACTAACGCGTGCGTCTACGATGTGGCAGACAAGCAGCAGCAGCAGCAGCAGAAGAAGAAGAAGCCAAAGCAAAAGCGGAAGCCCAAGAAAAAGAAGAAGACGCGGTCGAGCGACGACGAAGACAGCGACGACGAGGGAAGCGACGATGACAGCAGTGACGATGACAGTTCTGCAAGCAGCTCCAGCAGCTCCAGCGACAGCAGCGAGGAAGAGATCAGGGACGGCGACGAAGAGTTTGGGCTGCAGCACGACTGCACCCCCTTCCCTGGGTACTTGCCGCGCTGCGCGCCGTGGGCGGTCTAACCAAACTTTTCTAACAATACTGCCATCCTGCTACGTTCGTCCACAGGGTTTTCCAACATGCCGCCATGGTGGCGGGAGGTACGTAATGGTGGTGGTGGTGGGGTGCAGCGAATGAAACAGCTTCCGTGGGCCAATCGTTCATCACCCTTTTCCTCTCTTACCCACTCTCCAGCCACGATGGCTGCCTGTGAAGAGCTCAAGGCGCGACGGAGTAGCATCGCCATCAACTGGATGGGCGGACGACATCGTGCGCCGCACCACCCCATCTTTTCTTTTCTTTTCTCTTCGATTCGGCTCCCGTCCCTCACTGATACAAACGCCCTCCTCCCCCGCTTGTGCTGTTGCGCAGATGCGAAGAAGTATAGACACGAATGTCCCCGCAACCACGCCTGCAGCCCAATGGCTGTCGCCCCTTTCGCATGAGCTCATTTGGTCGTGTCGGTTCTTCCTTGTGTTAGGGACGAGGCAGCGGGATTCTGCTACGTCAATGACATCGTGCTCGCGATTCTGTCGTTGATGGGCTCCTTCGCCAAGGTGCTCTACATAGACATCGACATTCACCACGGCGTACGTTCTTCCTGATGCCCTTTCCATTTCCCATCTCTTCTGCACAAGAGCGAGCGCAGACTAGCCTCGCCCTTGCATGGCTGATCGTGCCGTGTGCCGTGTGTCTCAAACAGGACGGCGTAGAAGAAGCGTTCTACTACACCGACAAGGTATTTTGCGTGTCCTTCCACCACTACGCACCCGGATTCTACCCTGGTACAGTGCGAGCATCTGGCATGACCAGCACTTGCGTGGCGTGATAATGATGAGCCGTTTATCTCTTTCTCTCTCTGTGTGTGTGTGTATTTATATTTTTATATATATTGCATGTGTGTCGCATGTTGTCGCATGTGTGTCGTGTTTTGTTTTGCCTAACCTCCCTGGCCGTCTTCGTCCGCCCAGGCACGGGGCGGATTACCCAGGTGGGCGCAGGCAAGGGCAAGTACTACAGTACCGGCCACTTACTCCTTTCGTTCGCTCTTGTTCGCAATCTTCGCGTGTGTTCGTCTTCTCACGCCGCCCCGTTCCCGCTTGTGGTGTTATCCGATCCTCTTATGCCCGCCGCAGCCGTGAATGTGCCGCTCAAGGCGGGCATCGGGGACGAGGCCTACGTGGAGCTCTTCGCGCAGGTGGTGTCTGGCATCGTGACGCGCTACTCGCCCCAAGCGGTCGTGCTCCAATGGTATGGATGTCACCCGACTTCTTATTTCTTATTCATCAACCAACGAGTGGTGGTTGAACGAGCCGGCCGTAGCCACAATCATTGGGGGATGATCGGCTGATGTTCTCTTTCGCACCAGTGGTGTCGACGGGCTCGTTGGCGACCCCCTCGGCGGATTCAACCTCACCCTACGGTACCGCACGCGGCCGCACGCACACCCGCATCCGAGCACCAGCAGCTGCTGTCCGCTGCTGATGGTTGGCTGCCGTGGCGTGGCTTCGGGGCGTGCAGAGGTCTTGGTGAATGCGTCCGCACGGTGCGGGATCTGTGCAAGGGCCGCGGGGACGTCCCTCTGCTCGTGCTGGGCGGAGGCGGCTACAACTCGACCAACGCCGCGCGGGCTTTCACCCACTTCACATCCCTCCTTCTCGACAAGGTACTGCCCTCGGAACATGATGCCGGTGCTGATGGTGACGATGCACGTGAGCGCGAGATCACCGTTACCGTTTGTGTTTTCCGCGATTCACCGTGCGTGTAGGAGCTGCCCAACGACATTCCTGAGCACCGCTTCTTCGAGGACTACAAGGACCACGGCTTCCAGCTCCACCTGCCGGCGGGCCACGAGCCGGACAAGAACGACCAGGCCTACCTCGACCAGGTGCGCCAGACTGTGCAGGACAACCTGGCCCGCACTGCTGGGGCGACATAATGGTTATTTTCCTTGTTCTTTTCTTTCACCGCCCCAACCAAGAAAATAAATTTCCTGTTGCGCCCCAAACTGGATTGTGCCACCTCAAGCAATCCAAACAAGAGCGCAAAGGAGAAGAAGTGGAAAGGAATGGCATCAGCGGGTGGGCGAGGGGCCAGCGCGGCAGCACTGGGCGATGTTGGGTATAAGACGGACGACGATGTGAGGGCGTATGTGCGCAAGAGGAAGAGGGCCAACAAGAACTGTTCGGTTTCTCACCTGCGCCGCGCCCTCAACATCGGCTACAAAAAGGCCAAGCGCATACACGACGAGGTTGATGATGAACTGCGCCGCGAACGACACGATCGTCGAGGAGAGGACGGAGGCTCGCGCACTCAATCGCGCTCGCATCGCGGTGGGGCGGACGACGAGGACGACGACGAGGATGCCAGCGATGACGGTCTTGACTACGATGACCCTCACGATCGGCGAGAGGGCTCGCCCCACGACGATGACGAACAAGACGAGGGCGACATACCGGATGAGGCTCTGCGCGAGCACATTCGCAAGAAGCTGAGGCGCGGGGAGGTGATTTACGTGCACCACATGCGCGACCTGGGCCTCAGCTACCGCCGCACGAGACGCATCCTCCAGGAGTTCATCGACCAGGGCAAGATCCAAAAGCTGCCCCGCTGTACGCGCCAACCCCCCCCCCCAAACCAGCAGGCCTCGCAGCACAAAGAGACAGAGAGGGACGAACGTTTACTCACCACAGTACCATTTATTGGGGCGGTGGTGGGTGGTGGTGTTTGAAACACGACAGCGTCGCTGGGCGGCGGGCGAGGCGGCGCGGACGGCAGTCGTGGGGCGAGCGATGAGGCGCTGCCGAGCGCCGAAGACGCGGTCAAGATGAAGCCCCTCAAGCAAAAGGTCAAGGAGGAGAACAAGAAGGCCGCCGAGAGCCAGCTCAAGACCGAACCGGGTGACGACAGGAAGGACGACCAGCCGCTCCAGCAGCAGCAGCAGCAGGAAGAGGAGGGGCACGCGCCGCCGACCGAGGGTCTCGCCGCGACCGCTTCTTCTTCTCCTCCTCCTCCTCCCGTCGGCACAACAGGCGACGACGACGACAAGGCCTCCTCCCTTTCCACGACCCCCGCTGCTGCTGCTCCGCTCCCCTCGGACGATGACGCGGCTGGGACGGCCACCGCCGCCGCCGC